ATACACAAATAACCAGTTATGAAATTTCATATTTTATTATTGGATTTTCATGTATTTACACTGCGTTATTGTTACGGATATGAAATATTTAACGCCTCGGTACGCTGAATTTTTAAAACTTTATCAACTGTTGTGACTGGCACAATAGGCCCAAACACATTCCAATTACAGGGCGTTGCATTTTTAAGCATTGCTGGCGTGGCGTATCTATGCTATCTACGTTTGTAGTCGGCGTAGCGTGGTTGGATGTTAAATAATGCGAATGTGACACCACTGCCAGACATATCGATCATCTTCTGCCTGGTTCGCAGCAGTTGAAAATGTGATTGTCGAGTATACTGAACGAAAAACGTAAAATACTTACAAGAAAATCTTATCTGTATTTTATGCAAGTGCACAAACACCAGTGACTCACTTTTATTCACTAAATAAATATTTGTAAAAACGGTATTTATCCTAGTCGCATATACCTACTCACCTACACTTCATAAGTCAAACGTTTATTAATTGTATTATATTATCATGCTGGCTACAGCTACAGCCCACGACAATTATGCACGCATGAGACGCGCGGAGAGCACAATTCAAATATTCCCCGGGATGACTGGATGGCAATGACAAATGCGATTTATCAGCGCACGCGGCTGTTTCACGCTGATATAATTGTTGACTGCTGGCAAACTGCAAACTGCCAACTCTTACCAGTTCACAGTGCGGTGGTTGCGGTTCAGACGCACGTGCTAGACTTCCATTTCTTGATTAGTTGATAATAATAATAATAATTTTGTGCTAATAACGAAAATTTTATCTAAGTAATTAAGTTTTCTACTTTGATGCATTTTAAAAACCGTGATATACTAGAATAAACAAGCTGTTTATGATAACCACTGAAATATATCCACTGATAAGATAAATCAATACTATTCGTTAATAATTCGTTAATATGATTAATGTCCTACACGCAGTTAATCATGATAAACCGTGCACGGCATGACATGACAACCTAGTGATCAAATGATATAATGTGCAACTATATTACACATTTTAATTTAACATTGTTAGAAATGGAATTGAACTCAACGGTTAGAATAATATTTCACTATTACCCATTAAATATTGATAATATGACTAAATATGTTATTTTTGTTCCAGGTAAGTGTCGCCTACATGGAATTCTGCTAATTTGTGAACATGAACGTTCGAGATATTGTCGGAAACAATGTGTGTTTCTAAATGGAGTAAGTCAAATTGCCTGCCGACACGATTCGTTGCTCTCTCTGTGCGTAGCGATGTTTGTTGTTTTGGTTGTTAAGCTCTAACGCCGACAGATAGCCGTTTTCGCTACGAGTCGACGCTCACGATTTGTGCGTCGAAGACAAATTGTAACATTAACACCTACAACCCGTCCGCCACCGCTGGCACGATGTAAATCTTTTTATTCATCGGCGGACGTGTGGGCTTAAGTATATCGAAACTTGTGTATTCAGTTGGGAGTTGTATACGCTGCGACGAAAAAGTTTTAAGAAGATGGAGATAGCTGCTATCTTTTTTATATTGGTTGGTGTTGGAAGAAGCTTTCGAAGTGTGTAAGTTCATATCTGATTCAAAGTTCAGCGTAAAGCTACGGCAATTTCCTGTTATCTCGACATGCTCACATGGAGGATGCTGATTTCTTTCTGGAGGCGATTTTATTTTCTGTCTCGGAAATGAATTCTCTATAAGTTGTTTTACGCTGCGTATGTGTATATATTGTGTTTGGCTTTTTTCTTTGCGTTGATTTTCGTTTCCACCATTTTGACTATTTTCTAATTCTAAATCTATTTCGATCGACAATCAGAAAGCGTACCCGGCGTTCCATCCGTATATTAGTCGCATTTGTCGCCAGCCTCTTTTTCTAAGCTCTCGGCGAGCTTTTCGTTTCCATGGCGATGCGACGTTCCATTCGTGATTGCGCCGCACCGCCCAGTGATTAATTCTGATTTCCGTTGGAAAGTAGTGCGTTTACTATTCGCTTGACAATTCGAGATATAGAGATTACTATCGCTGCGACAGTTGGTGCGTGCTTTCGGTGCTTTTTAAAGAGTTTACATGTGTGGATTTTTCGCGTTTGCGATGCGACTCAAAGTTTTCTGCACATGAAAGCGGAGAATTTCAATTTATACATCATGCTGGTCGAGTTGTGGCGACGCGGAACAGGGCAACCGGCAAATTGTAACTTGGTGTTTGTGTGCGCGGGGACAGTTTAAATATTCCGTGCTCGTGAAATATGCGAGAGTACGGTTTGCATCCCGAGGGCCAGCACGCGCACTGAAGGGTTACCGATTATTACCATATAAGTGAGTCTGAAATGCTTGCGGAGCGTAGGAAAACTCGGACACACGTTCCGCCAGTGCACAATTTCGTCGCCCGCTGTGGAATTTCACATGCGCCACGGACGAAACGTGAGATAAGCACATCCACGTCTACTGACACATCGTCAGCAGGATTTTACTAACTACCTGCACCCACGAGGGGAAAAGTCAGACAGATTTTACGTTTATTTTTCACTTGGGGTGTGAAAATGGATTTGCACCACCAGCATCTCGAGAGTAGTGAAGAAGTTTCGTTTGTATTGCGATTGATCCCGACGCCACCCGTCCGACGACATCGAATAATCACGGAAGATGCAGGCACGTCGGCGTCTGGTTGGGATGTTATCATCGAAACCCCCGAACGCTCGCAACGACAAACCGTTCACGGCCGGCCGATAAGTTCCGCATCTTCGAGCAGTGATTATCAGCATGTGCAGCACGATTATGTTAACATACATGCAGCGAATTATGGGTATAATTATAATCAATATGGGTACATACCGCACCTGCCACCGCATGCACCTATGTCGCCAACGAGACGACGCCGACCTTTGCCTGAACCTTCTGCGCCTCCATCCGAGGACGAGGATGCTGCACAACCAGAAAAAACCGCAAGGGTTGACATTGCGGCGCTTTGCGGGACAAAATGGTAATTTTTTGATGTGTTGATGTCACGAAACAGCTTGTTTTGCTTGTTACGCTGGGTTTCGCTGTGTGTCTTTAATTAAGTTTGTTAATTGGGTTAAAAATGATTGTCCACCGTAAAACCACACATTGTTTATGCATTACAAAGTGGAAAACTCGACTCTACTCTACTCAAATCAGCAAAAAAAGGATTTCATTTTAGCTGATTTTGTACCTGGACCGCTTGGGAATTTCGAAATTTGCATGAACCAACGTACTGTGAAAAATATGCAGTTTTGATATCGCTTCTGGAATGTTTGCGGAATGAAAATATTCCTGAAATTTAATTTTCAAAGCTAATAAACTATCTGGTGTGGTTTGAATTTTTGTACGGAAATGAAGACAGATACAAACTATTCGCGTATAAATATTCAGTTTTCTATCTTGCACGCAATGGACACATAACTGATAGGGTGTCATTTAGTTCCAAGCGAGTGGGAGCTAAAAAAGGACATCTCAACATGCCGAGTGGTAACTTTTAACTCTACATGCTCGTTTGGTGGATGCCTATATCCCTATATGCTTATATAAATAGACATTTTGGGCTTTATTTATAGCCACGTTATTTGTCTTTGTTTTGTTTTTATTTTATTTTCCCCTCGCCTGGAATTTTCCGTTAACGTGCTCAAATCCTGCTGCGCACGTGGCGTTGTCTTCGAGACCAATAAATCAGCAAAGCGCATCGCGACAATTCGAAATCGTAACTCCGTCATCCGAAACTGTTCCGGAACGATAATGAACGAAATCGTTTCATCATCCAGCCATGATCTTAGTTTCATTCACATTTCTTTATGACCCTGCACAGCACACGTCTGCATTTAAAGTTATCTGGCCATTATCTATTTATCTTTTTAAACTGGTGTGCACATAAATCAATGGCAATCCTACACATCTTGAAATATTTTTGTATTATACCAGTTGTTTTGGCTAAATTCGTCCTGCTTCTTCATTAATAAATAAAGTCTTAAATTTATTATTAACTAAACTTAATTAGGTTTTGTCATTATGACAAAAGAATACTTTTTATAGAAGTTTTTTTATTAAAGTGAAAAGAAAATCTGCTTTGATCTATTTTTTTTTATTTTCTTGTTTTTTGAATGGAGGCAATATTGCATTTGTTGCAATATGTTTGAGTAGCCTGTATGTTTGTAATATTGACACACTGGAGTTAATTAAATGGGCCTTGAAGGGAAGCCTTCGTTAAAAATAATTAGTGAGTCAATTGCAAGTTGGTATTGCGGTCTCGTTTTTGTTTACATTCGTAACATGTTGCAGTTTCTTTGTCGGTTTTGTACGCGCTGGAAAAGTCGAGGGAATTTGTAACTTGCGCGCCGCGTATTGGGAGAGTATGGATCGTTCAGGTTCAGGCGACGCCCAAAATGCACGCTCGAGATACTGCAATGTGGTGTCTCCGGCTCTATCGATATTAATAAATTATTGCTCAGGGAGTTGGGTGCGTCGCACATTCAATGCCAGATTTTAATACCTTCGCTACCTTCGGGAATTTGCTATATTCTTTAAAACTGAATTGATTTTATCATAAAATCTTTATTTGCTTCTAAATATTTCAATAATTCCGTTTTTTATTGCTATTAAATCTTGATATAAAGATGTTGGTGTTGGTGTTGGTGTTGATATGTAATGAATAGTTTAACTACCCTTTTATAGTTTATGGTTTTATTCACCCTCGAAGTGGGTTTATGGAGCGTTTTAAAATATGTCCTGTACGTTTGACAATATTTCTAACACCATCATCATCATCACCTCATCAACGGCGTTATTTATATTTACAGCCCAGTATCAAATATAGCACATCATCATCGTTTCACACGCATTCCCCGCCCGTATCAGAGCTTTTCCGTGTTCATAAGTTATTTATAACATTTCCGTGCAGGCGGCATTCCGCGTGTGTTATGCGCGTTATAAATAATTGAATTTCAGACCGAGTTTAATATCGGATAAACACCGCGTGCAATACTTTCAGGTTAAAACAAAATAAATCTCATCCCAAAATTTTGCCAAAAGAGAGGTGAAAAATTGATAATGGACTGATGATGAATGAGTGAGTGACATATTGTTTGCTGAGCGCCAGTTGGTATTGACATAACATGGTAGAAGTTGCGCCTCTGTTTTACTCGTCCGCATGCAAAGCGCAGCGCGACAAACGTCAAGCAGGAAAACGATGAGGCGCACTTAAGTCGTTTAGTCATGCGGACGCGCGACGACGTCTCGTCAGTCAGTCAGGCAGCCAGCCAGCCGGCGCGGGTTGGTCGATGAGTATTGTAAACTATTCAAGCCCGCCGTCAATCGGAAGTGCATTTACCCGACGCAGTTGTGACTTATTAATCAGTGCACACGCACACGAAATCGATTGCACCGCTGACTCGCCGAGATATTTCCATTTTTATCCGAGACACCACGACGCATCCTCACGTGTAACATGTGAGAAAATTAAATGAGCATCCACTCTCGTTCGCGTTTGAGGTCGGCGCTAAAAATAATCCCCGTCTACGCCAAAAAGCGCCGCACGGCGACGACGACGTCGCCGCCAACAACGACAGTTAACGCATTACTTACTTAAGCCTTGTCGGACGCGTAAATGCGCGCGCCACTTAAAAAACTATCCGCCGCAAAAGTGTTTATGTGTTTATCAAGTGATAGTGATATTGTTGCATGGTTAATGAGTGGCTCGAGTGATTGTTATTGTTTTGCCGATAAACAATGCGCGATCTGTGTGCAACGAACGACGACGTCAGCGATGAATGGTAAGAAGGGGGCCGCCGTTGCGGCCGCGGTGGCCTTCCTCGAACGCCAGCAGCAACAAAAGTCCAAGCCTATGTTGCACCAGCAAACGACGGATAAAAATGTGAAAATTGCGGTGGCAAGAGATAACATTACTGTCGCCAGCAATGAGAATTGTGCGGACGCGAATAAATTACTAAACGGGGTCGCGCCAACCATGAGTGCTGTGGCGGAAAAGCGGAAAAAGTTCGACGCCAATCGTCCGAAAGTATTCGCGCGGCAAACGAGTGAGAACAGCGAGAATCGCATCAGTAATGTAGAGAAAACTTTACCGCGCAGCGACGACGATCACGTAAATACGTTCGAAGGTGCCGTTTTAGACTTTGATTTGACAGCTGAGGATGTACAGAAATTTGTTGCTGAATCAATGAGGAAGATAGAATCTGCCACGCAAGGTAATACTTCACCTGGAGTAAAAATTATTTGTAAAGCTATATATCTATATAGAAGCACAAGATTGTATGATTGCCTCCACTACATCGGAGTATGTAGCATCTGATGACTTCGAAGACTCCACTTCAGAATCAAGCAGTAGTGGAGGTAGTAGCAGTGAATCGGACACCGAAGAGGAATGTAAGGACTTGCCAGCTGGTCTAGCGACCATTGCTGAAGAGGATGTCGGTGTTAGTAGCTGCGGTATGCATTCTACTGACGAAGGAGAAGGTATAATTACAATTATAATCAATATAGTGCGTTTCAATTTGTTGCAATCTTTAAATATTCCGTTTTATTTATTCGCACGCACAGCCGCAATGCGGGGGCGTCGGCGCCTCATCAAACATGTTTTTTCCTGCATCATAAAAGCACTGAACAAAACAGACACGCAGAATATACATGTGTCGACATACAAATGCTCTATTTATATTTCTAGTACTCGTTTATGTTGTATGATGATTGCCGGAATAGTTTAATTTAATTATTTCACCGCCATTTATGTTCTGTAATAATATAATTGAAATAGTAGAGTATTTTCACTTTTGTTCCATGTGCCAACTAGTATTATGTGTAATTATGTTTGGCCCGGCTAATAGTGCTCACTTTTTTGGCAAACAACATTTTCGTGTCTACATGACGCATTTTATATTCAAACAGAATTTCGGCATTTATTTGTGGAGGTGCCGGGTGATACAATTTTGTTTGTAAATACTGAAGTAGAAATACGTGTTAAATGGGTGTCAATTAATTAATTAAAGTTTTTCAATTTGAAAGCTGAACGTGTGACACATCACCACTTATCTTCTTCTAACCTGCTGTCAGATTGTATCAACAACATACGAGTAGCTGTATAATGCTGTAACCTGGCAGTTGTAGAGTGATAAAAGATGGCCACGCTATTCTTATCCAAATCGGCTTTCAGCAGGTTCTTAATACTTTTATTGCTTTGAGTACTTTTTGACTGTCATGCGATTGCATCATCGTTGCATCTCACATGTCTTCTATCCACTTGTTTTCTAGTTTGCTTCGTACAAGTTTCACTATAGAAGTGCTTCCTAGATCTATAGCGTAGTGCGACGTAGTGGTTTTCTTCGTACTCCCAGTTTCTTCCTGGTTCACGTGCTACGTGCTCAATGTGTGTGTGCGTTTGTGTGGCTGTTGAATGTCTTCTGGAGGCTGCAGACGATGAAAAAGCTTGGCTCGCCGCCAAAGCGCCCGCAGTGTGCCTGTTGCGGCTGTTCGCGAGTCCGATCTAGTGTGCTCGCGTGTATAATGTGTATAATGAACAAATTCAGGGAGAGCGCGCACGCGGCCCGCCGCAAATAGAATATTTCCGAACGTCTTTTCGTAAACGCACGCATAGTTTATTCGTTTTTATCGGTGAAGCTGTGCAGGCCGGCAAACACGATCGGTCCGCGCGCCTCGCGAGTCGCTCGTTTTAACGTTTTTCTGTGTACATCTCTTGCTTTTTGCTTCGGGCGCAAAATTCAAACCTGATGTGTGCGCGTCTGTCGGCGGTATTCATCGGGGAGCAACTCGCCGCCTTCACACATCGTTTCGCTCTTAGTTTCCTGTTTTTTTTTATCGCCGTGCATCATATGTTTGTTTTTCTTGTCTGGTCGGCGCTGATGGTGGAGGCGCCGTGCTTCCCCGCCGTGTGTTAAATCGACGCGAAGACGTGACAAACATGAACGTGTTCTAATGGTCTTGTGTCACTTAATAACGTAAATGGATTCGCGACATGTTGCCGCAACCCCGCCGCATCAGCCGGTGCCTGTTTCCTGCCAGCAACAAACGTTGAATGGCAGGAGATGGAAGCGGCGCAAGCAAAAAGCGGCGAAATCCAGTCCGAAGCGAGGAAATGGTAATTATCACATTTACGGCGCCCCGGCCGGAAATGCGCGACTTAATTAAACATGTTTCTCTGCGTGTTTTGTTTATTTTAATTTTCAAGCCTTTGGAGTTTACGAAGTTGGTTGAAATGAAATTTTCAGTAATGAATTTTATTGACGATAAAAACTTTTGCAACAATAAACATGTCATATTTCCTATTGCAAGTAATTTTAAGCGAAGATAATTATCCACAAATTAATTACGGCACAGTTTTATTTTACTGACAGTTTCCGGAATGAAGTGCTGCAGTCTGCAATTCAGTGAATTCTGGAAATATGGGACAACCAGCATCACAAAGCCGATATAAATTACTTCGCTGTTTTTGTTCTTTATTTGTTTCCCCTAGCATAGTAGTATTCTGTGCCACGCTGTTATTTTAGGCGTATTCCAGTGTTTTTCTGTGTTATCCACTACGCCAACTGCAATCATTCTTCGGTGCGCACCCGAACTGTTTGTACAACCACATTTGCTCGCTCCGACGAGCACAACTCTTTTGCGGATGGCGCATAACGCCACCGCTATTCAAAGGAGCACATGTATTCGTATATAATACCATAATATGTTGATTTATTCGATACAAAAGAGGAAGACAGGAAGGTATTACACCAATGCGTTATGTAAACAACATAGACAAATGTTTCCTGCTATCGAACAACATGAATCGACTACTTGTAAAACAATAAACAAAAACACGATTATCGTTATTGTTTAATCGACCATAAAATGAAACATGATTAAGCCTGCTGACCCGTCGCGAGATAGTGGAAATTTCTGTAGTCGTTTTTTATTCTGTGTATTGTTTCAACCGGCGTCAGTTAATTAATGAAATTTATGTTGTTAACACGATTGTAATAGTAATTGCGAATGCAGCGGTGGCTGTGGCAGTGGCTCAATTGTGCAAGAAAGAAAAGAAGTATATGTCATAGTCAGACGTATTATTGCCCTTTTATTGTAAGTGACGTCTACTCGTGCGCCGCGAAATTAATAACCGGCGGGGCCCGGCTGACTGAGTGAGTGCATGCCAAGCGTCGGGGGCTCCGGCACGACCATTATATCGGCGGCCGGGCACGTGCATGCTGCGCGCCGGGCGGAAAACGGAAGGGTGGGTCGCGACACAGAATAATGTACGTGGTGCTTGTGCGTTGCGCCTGCTGGCAGGATGAAAGACGCTTGACTAGCAGGGGACTACTGGAAAATGGCAATCATAGTCAGATTACAGGGTTGTACTCGAAATATTTTACATTTACCACGACACCCCATCTAAATTAACTGCACATGTGCTAGATTAGTGAAATATTTTGCAGGGAATCCTCGAGAGGAATTCAATTATTGTACTGAAACTTGGAAAATCTCTGTACGCGTGTTTCTGTCTGTCTGTTTGTAACTGAAATGTGCAAGCTGCATGTGACTGCGATTTGCTACTGTTCGGGACAGATTATTATCTTGTCGTAAAATTGAAGGCCCGAAAGAAGCAGGCACAGGTCGTAAACAAAACCGACATCGCTTCGGATTGGAATTATTAGCTTCGACTGGTTTGATATTAATAGAAGTTGAAATAGATTCCATTAAAGATGTTTGGGATGGTTTTGATGCTGGTTTATTGTTTTGGAATTCGTATTACCGATCGCGATCTATTTCAAGCAAATATTTCGGTGTTTATTATTGAATACGCGCGCTTTTAATTCCGTGTTTTAGTGTTTTGATGAATTCCGTTTTTAAAATTAGACTCTGTAAACAAAAAAATCATCATGGACATATGCTTCTCATCAACTTGAAACGTATTAGTCTTTATATTTATGCAGCTAGCGCAAATTGCGCTGCTTTTAAAGTCAAGTGCCCCTGAATAGTACATAATGTACAGACGTAGTATAAATGTGAATTGTAATTCATGTTAAAATATACCGTTCAGATGCTAGCAGCGATGATGGATCGACGACTCAAGAGGACGAAAGCAGCGCAAAGCTGAAGCAGACGCGAAATAAACCGGAAAGCAGTGCTAAAAGGACGGACTCACCATCGTCCGATAGTTCCTCATCCACTCCGGAGACAAACAGGAAAGGTGCGCTTAACTACCACGCCAAAGCTGTTTACAAGCAGTGTACGGGTGGTGTAGAACAAGGCTTGAACTTTAAATCACTCTTCAGATAGCTCGACGCGTTGCAACGGCGACTTCCAATGGATTCCACCGAAGCACTCGACGCCGTTAACGGACGCCAAGCCGCCGATAAATCGCAATCATTCGCAATCGAGTGCCCATCGGGATCGGACGCCGCGGCGGGCCTTAGCCGGTGATAAATCGGCGCCGGGCAGTTTGGATCGTCGACGCAACAGTTCGCCACGCACGGATCGACAGGAACGCGATCAAAAATCGCGATCATCGTATGCGCTCAAATCGCCGCCGCGGTTGGAGGATTTTGTTAATCAATCGAATTTCCATGGTGGTGGCGGTGGCTGTCAGAATTGGTGCTGTAATCCGTCCGGGCCCGCTGAGTATTATGAGAATTTCCATCGGCGGCATGAACGCTTGGATCCAATGCGTTATGGTAGTAATCCGATGCTGATGTGCGGTGGCGCGCCAATGGACCAACAACAACGCGGCAGTCATCCGAATTTGTATAGCAATACAGGCAGTGGCAATCATCTCGATTATCAATCGCAAAGTTTATGCGGATGCGGTTGCGGATACCCGCATATGCCCATGATGCCACCTTTTTATTATGATCCACGGGCGTACCACTGGGGTCCTCCCTTGCATTCTAATAAGGTACACGGGAAACTAAACCACAACACTCACTAATAACTAACTCCGCAAAATGCTTATATTGAATGAAAATGATAAGGCAATTTGACTTACGACAACTCCGCTTTGTATATTTGTAATTTATTTATTTATATATTTATATTTTTACTAATTTATAAATATTAGCTTCCAGATCAAGATGAAAGATTTCGTAAGCTGCAACAGGAGCGCGATAATCTCCAGCTTCAAGTGCAGGTCCTCAGCGAGCAGATCGATGCGCAAAACGAGAAAATATCGGACGTGGAAAAGTCCCTCGCCGAAAAGAAGCAGATGCTTATCAGCGCCGAGGATACGCTTCAAAGAGTACTTAATATGATTACGCAATCTTTTCCTTTGTTCATTTTCATATTTCATTAGGAGATGCTGTCGCGTTCGTCGCTCGAAACGCAAAAGTTGGAGCTGATGTCGGCGATCAGCGAGATGAAGCTGCAGCAGGCGGCGTTGGAGCGCGAGAATCTCGAATTGAAAACAGCCCAACAACAACAGATCGCAAACAGTGCGTTCGAAGCCAAGAAGGCGGCGTTCTTGGCGAGAATGTCGCCACAACCTGCGCTTACCTCTACACCTGTTCATTCTAGCAGTCAAGTAGGTTTAGATAACAACGACTTCATTTAAAAATGTTTTGCGTTTAATTAATGTGGGGTTTTCCATTTGATTTTTATCTTTTAGTTGAGGAAATCTCCATCACCCAGTCCCGTGACGGTCGGCTCGCTATCAGCTTCACCTCGCCGCTCTGACGGATCGGATCATCAATCACCCAAGGTAATTATTCGCAATTACAACTCTTCCGAATATGGCGGCTGGATCGATTCGCAACTCAACAAATTGTTTCGCAGACGCCGCCGGCTAGCTACCGCCGCCAGATTGAACTGCAGTACTCCAGCTTGCCGCGCCAGCAGTTTCTAAGTAATGGCGGCACGTCCTTTTCGGTGGTGGACGCGAACGCGAACCCATCATCCTCGGCCGGTGCGGCGGCGATGAATGGCGGGGTCAAGAAGGGAGTGGCATTTGGTATGGGGCTTTCATCACTACTTGGGGTTAAGGCGCGGGGGCACTCGGTGCCCAATCTAGGTGAAAAATTCAAACAGAACAAACGTGTGCAGCACACTAAACTAATTTAGATAACCGGAACGTTCACTAAAATAGCAAAAACTGAATTATATGCGCAACAAAAGCACTTAACTTTATGTTTTGCATCAAAGAATATTAATTTTGATTCACCGATTAACACGCATTAATTAGAATTAAGGCACTGCTTTCACAATTCTTCCGCTTTATCTGTACTGTTTGCTTTGGAATGTGACAATGGCGTCTGCTTGAATCATTCGTTAGTCGTGCAGATGATGATCAGTTTGCGGAATTTGATTTTTACAGCCGAAACCGAAAAAATCGTTATCGGAGAATCGAACAATCCATCCGTACCGCAATCGCCGTCACTTCAATTCAACAACAAAAAAGGAATTAAAAAGATTTTTGGTATTTAATTTAATTTTCTGTTTTGTTTTTTATTTTTTATCATATGTTTTGTTTTATTTTGTACTCATTAAATTTTTATCTAGGTAAAATCAAACGATCCAACTCTGGAACTTTGGACGACTTCTCATCTAACTGTAGTGATTTCCAACGTGGTGGTGTTAGAGCTACTGCGTCTGCGCGCTTGGGTTGGAGTGAACCTACACCTCCTCTTATAAAGTAATTTATATTCTGTTAAATGAAATAATTTAGGTTTTACCAGCTTAATTTTATTATATAGACCAGATAAACCATTCGCCGAGTGGGACACTGAAAACATTTGCGACTGGTTGCAAGACTTAGGATTGGATCAATACGTGGTGGATGCAAAGCGTTGGGTCAAAAATGGTCAGCATTTACAGGAAGCAAGTTTGAGCGAGATTGAAAAGGAACTGGCGATTAAAAATCCTCTGCACAAAAAGAAGTTACAACTGGCGTTGATTGACATTGAAGAAAACAGTTCTAGCGATCCTTATTTGTCAAAAGCAGGTAATTATTACAGTTGTTTATAGACTGTTCTCAGAAGTTAGGTCTATAATCGCTCCTTTGTGAAGGTAAATTGGACACCGCTTGGGTATTACGTTGGCTGGACGACACAGGCTTACCGCAACACAAAGAGAACTTCCTGCTAAACCGCATTGACGGTCGCGTGCTGCACAGACTCACCATGGATGATTTGGCGCTACTGCACGTGACCGCGCTACTACACGTGGCGAGTATAAAGCGCGGCATTCAGGTCCTTCGAGAGAACAACTATGAACCGGGATGTTTACAGCGACGCACTTTGCCCGAGGATCCGGAACATGCGACAGCAAAACAAATATCGTTATGGACGACACACAGGTACTTATATTCCTCGATTTCATTCAATGTGTTAGAATTTATAGGTGTAACATGTTGATTAATTGCATTCAAGGGTGATGGAATGGTTGAAAGCCGTGGATTTGGCTGAATACGCCCCAAATTTGCGAGGGGCGGGCGTACACGGTGGCCTGATGGTGCTCGAGAATAAATTTAACGCTGAACTGCTCGCCGCGCTATTGAGCATACCGGCGAACAAAACTTTGCTGCGGCGGCATCTGAATACGCACTTTAAGGAACTCTTGGGCAAAGATGTCATACAGGCGAAGCGTGAAGCCGAAGGAACTTTGGGATATATTCCGTTGACGCCATCTGCTAAACTCAAGGTTTGATCATGCTTCGCTAAACGATTTCTAGTTGCAACGTGTGTTTCTTCTGTTTCAGGTTGCTAAAAAGTCGCATTTTTCTTTGAAGAGAAGCAAGAGCAAGTCGGAGGCCGATTACGGCGATCTGGTTTGTCCACTGAATGCGAACTCAGGTGAAAATTGTCAGAATGGTTCTCCTAACATTGGTGTAAGTTACTAACACTAATATTAACTAACATTATTACATTCTAAATGCAATTGTATTCTATCTCAAGGGTATATAATATTCGCTTTTAAATGACATGATTATCAACGGCCTGAAAATTGACGTATGAATAAGAGCTTTGTTAAATGATGTGCTCTTGTTTTTCATGCTTTGCGAACGGCTCACACGCACACATGGCACGGCCGAAATGACGAATTTAGGTTCCGGAAATCATGGTTATCCATTGTTAAATTACTAACACGCTATGTGTTGTTACATAGTTTTAAATAACCGAATTAGAGTCTTATAGGTTCGTCACGAATCTCTAGCATATGATAGACAACATTTGCGTAGTGGCTAATATTTTATTTATATTTTGTTTCTTTTTTAAGCTCAAACAGAAAAATTACAAAACGGGCGAAATTGCGAATAATTGATAACTAGATAATTATTTTTGCTTCTATATTTTAGTTTGTTATGGAGTTTTAGCTGCAGCATGGCAAAAGAATTGCTTGACACTAGTTTCTGCTTTTATTATACTGTAATCATGTTTTGCACAAGCACTAATGGCTTCTTTGTTGTTTGTGTTTAGATGACGAAGAGGAACGGAAGGGACGAGGTTGTTTATCATCTCGTTGAAGATGACAGTCTTTCGGGTTCTTCAACTAATTCGCCGATACCTGAACGACACGAATTTTAAGAATGTGTTACTGATTTGCGCCCAGTGTAAAACAAGAACTGACAATCAACATAAAGTTTTGTTAACGTATTGATTTTTTGATTTTTCACTGGTCTACGCATTCTTTAGATTAAGATGGCGGTAGCAAGGGTTGATGAATGGGTGCTCTAGCAAGGAAACAAAGGAAATTCTTCATTCATAGCTAAAAGTTCCTGACACATTTTAGCCATTTGTATGTATTGCAAGTATTTATATGAAAAAAAGCTCGGAAATTAGTCTTCCCCAGAGAATCTAGATCTGCCTTATTATCAATGATATGTATTGTATAACCAGCAGTATATTTTGACCACTTTATTTAAATATTCAACATGGCGCAAGTATTATATTACTTTTCTGTGCATTTATTAAGATTAGTGACACCTACTAGCATTGTGTTCTACACTAGTAGTAGATGATAAACGTATAAAACATCATATTTGACAATATACACCCTAGAAATATGCGAATTTCGGGCAAATATTTAACAGACTTACTAGTGCCAAAACGAATTCAAATGTAAATTACATTCAAAGCAAGCGAACCACTAGAAATTCATTGACTTGTAGCATTTTACATGATACTAACTATAAGATATATTTTAATGAAACATATATTTAAATATTATAGTTTTATGGAGGTTGAACCAAATATGAATTATTGTTGTTTGATTATTTGTTGTATGATGAGTATTAAACGATGAAGTTAACGTGTGTAATCATGTAAAGCATCATTTTACTGCTTTAACATAAATAATAATAAACTATGTACACTTAAGTAGCATTTGTTACCGGAATACTATACAATATCATACAACATACAGGAAAGTAGCAGTTAGCTATATTATACAGTCTTAATTTATAACTGTAAAAGTTGACCAAATTTTATATACAGGTGGAAATGTGTATAAATATGCATAAAACAGTTCTTTCAAATAGCTCACAGTAGCATACTACAACTGTCTCTAAGTTGGGTATGTCTATAATTTAAAACGTGTGCTTTTATCATGAGTGAAGTTAAGGATGTAAGACTTAAAATATCGTTTATTTTCACCATTATGATGTATGTTTAGGGAGAATATGTATAATGAATGATCATGAAACATATATAGTACTGAAATCATTAGTGTGTTGCATTGTTTGCAATAAACTAAATTAAATTGACAACAAATTATATATCACAATGTTATGAATATAATAACAACTTATTAATTCTGTCTTGTTGTATGTTTATTTAATATCATCAAAGTCTTGTAAGGTGCGTACTATTTTTGACGCAAGTTTTGTTTTCGTTGATCTCAAGGCACACATCACGCCATACTACGAAACACTAGATATGGTGTAGTATGTTTATCGCGTTACTGTAAGGAATTCTCAGGTGGCGCAACGATGCACATTTTTAACTAAAACTAGTCGTACGGTTGAAAATAATAGTGCACGGTCGCTGCAATGTCCGTACGCATCTCTTCTGGTGTCACGCGCTCCACGTTTTTAGTTTCGATAAATCGTGTTATGTGTGATTAAACATCGTTAATATTTGCTGGTAATAAACCTATTTTTGGTTTTATGCTATTGATTTATCGCGAGTGGAATCTTTTAAGGCGTTAGTGCGTTTTGTATGTTTTTTGTGTGTTCGGAGTGATTTGCCGTCGGACGCTAATGGTTAAAACTTTCCCTGTTGTAAATAATGTGAATGAAAGTTAGTGCAGCATTACCATACTGAATGTATCAGTGTTTACAAACAAACAAGTTTTCTTATCTCGTGCAATTTTTGAGCGGTCGCCACGCGGTTCCCCTCGCGATTGGCTTGCCTGCCACGTCAGTCTTATATTTGTCGCCGAGGAATCTGCACGCACATTTTCTTCACAATAATTTGAGATCCTTAATTTCTTCGCGTCATTACATAATATTTCTAAATGCTCCTTCCATTGTGTGCGAGTGATGTACAGCGTTCGTTAAATGCGAATTGTTTATACGCAGAGGTAAAACGTGAGTGATGTTCCGTCGGCCGTCGGTTATTCTTTTTGTATGATACGCGTATTTCATCATTTCTACAATGTGCCTAATTAAGGTCCTTACAATTTATTGGATAAGCCAAAAGCGCAAAATTAATTTTGCATTAAGGTATGTTTCTGCATTTCTTAAGCCATTTGAAAATCAAATCCATTATTGCCTTTACTTGTTTTTACCTTAATTGCGTGGTGGTCTTTAAGCCTACAAATAATTTTTGTCTCTGTTTCAATACCGTTGATTTGCTTTACGTATTTGATACCTTGTTTTGTTTTTGTTTAATGTACAAATTACAAATATTAAGATAGTCGCATGCCGTCGGATGCGTTCTTGATCCTCTGGCGACTTTCCGTGCTGGTCGCTGGTTGTTTTACATGATTTAAAAATTCTGCTTTGTGCTTTATTTTTGTAATATCCAACCCAAAGCGATTCATATCCAAGGAAAATACAATTTGTGAAATGTTCTATTTTTATGTTTTCGTACTTACTTACTAATTCCTAATGGCTTTCTTCTTATATTACCTTGTTATTGTCACCTTGTTAATTGTTTCCATCCGTTTTCCTACTTTAATCTTAATTTTTCTTTGTGTATCACCCAGTAGATATATTTTCCTTATCATTTAATAGACCATATTTATTATTGTTTGGGTGTTTTACCTTTTTAGAGTTTTCTTTTTATAACACCCTGTTTATTTATTTCCCGTGGTGTCAAAAGGGGAAAGATGTATGTTATCCCATTTAAACTTAGGAGTTTCCTTTAAAATATTGTTGTTTTCTTTTTAAATCACCCTGTAGTGGGTTTGTCAAAAGGGAAAGATATATGTTATCAGACTTAAACTTAGGATTTTCTTTTAAAATATTGTAGTTTTCTTTTTGTATTACTCTGTATTATAATTTCCCCTAGTGGTTTTTTGTAACACCCTGTATACTAATTTCCCATGGTTAATTTGTCAAAAGGGGAAAGATATATGTCATCCCACTTAAACTTAGGATTTTTCTTTAAAATTTTATCGTTTTCTCGTTACATTACCCTGTATATTAATTTCCTTTGATTTTACTTGGACTATGTTTCCCAACTTGAATTTAGCATTTCCTCTTAAAATGTTATTATATTGTTTTTGGAACACGAAGGTTAGCGGTAGAAGTGACTCGTGTTCAGGGCACCGTACGAAGGTAGCGGTAGAAGTGACTCGTCTTAACGGCACCATACGAAGATAGCGGTAGAAGTGACTCGTGTTCAGGGCACCGTACGAAGGTAGCGGTAGAAGTGACTCGTGTTCAGGGCACCGTACGAAGGAAGCGGTAGAAGTGACTCGATTCAGGGCACCGTACAAGGGTAGCGGTAGAAGTGAGTCGTATTGATAAAATATAAATTATTTTTGGACGTTTTTGCCCAAGAAATTTAATTTTTTTATACTTTTATCTGATAGAGAATTTTCCAAAGTTTCTTAATCTTCAATCCATTGGTCGCTAACGTTTTTAGTTGAAATGTTACCAAAAATACTCGAAAAAGCATGACGCAGCACCTCCCTTTACTCATTTAAGTGAATATTGAATTTTAAAAAATTAAATAAATTACTTATTTGTAATGGTAAATTAAATTCCTGTTTTTGTCAATCTTATTACATCCGAAAGTCAATATATTCTTTTCTTAAGCCGAGAAATATTGAAAGTAAAAGTACATTCCGTGTATATGTGCTATTTCAATATTGAGAATTTTAGTTTCGTCTTTTCAACTACGTGTTTACTATTACGTTTGTGTATAATCAACTTTTTTTGTTCGACTGACGCGTGTTATCGCGGTGTACCTGCCTTGCTACGCGTAGTGCACACGGCAGTCGTTTCACCGCGTGGTCCGCGAACGTGTCTCTCTATCGCCATGCGTTTTGAGGTTTTAATTGTATTAATCGTCGTGTATTCGTTCGGCCATCGTCAAAATATTCGCAATGGAAATGTGTGCCTGTTTTGTTTAATGATTTATGGCGGTTAGGGTCTTCTTAGGTGAGAAATAAGAGTCCGTTAATCCCTGCGCAAGTTTTCAGTTGATAGAATATATTTCAGGATAGAAAGTCTCCTCATCAATGCACAGGTTGGTGCATAATTAAAATTTATCGCGGAAAGTTAAGGCGGTTTAACGGCGGTTGATTATTTAATTTGACGGATATTAATTTTGTAGATTACAAACACGTGATGGAATTTTTATCAGAATTCTTCTTAGTCGCGTTTCCGAAAATAACATGCTTCATTTAATTATTACAAGCACGGTTTTTAAAATGATCTGAAGATTATTAAAATGATAATATTCATATGGTCGACCACACTTTCTTTGCCGTCGGCCGTCGGTTCGGTCATGTTTTCGATGATCACGTAAACATTTGTAATCGAATTGAATCATTAAATTAATAATTTCTTGTTGAAATAAAATCTTGAACGGTGAATAGTTTTTCGTTTTCGTAGTCTCAGTATATCTTAATATTTATAAAGAAATAGTTATTTTTACCGTCTTTAACCACTGTGCTACGCGCCGTCGCTTGCCGTCTGTAGATTTAGATGTTTTCCGCCGGATATTCTACTCGTATAAATTTATGATGATGCTTCACCTGTCGCTTACCTTATAAGGTTGATGCTACCATCAATTAATAAAATATATATTAAAATGTAAGTGTTTTAATTTTGTAGCACCTTTTTTGCTCAATTGATTTTCGGGTAAAATATCTGATTTTATATTAAAATATTGTTGTTAATTTGTAAATTTCCCTCTTCATATTATGAGTATTGACTCCCTTTGTAGTTTCAATTTTTTTTAAACACCCGGTATATTAGTTTTCCTAACAGCACGTAGGAAATCACCTTTAGTTGTGAGTTTTTAGTGTTCTATGTTATTGATGGGATTTTCTTCCTAGAAGACCCTGTATATATGTTTTCCTTTGTGTCCGCGAAAATTTTGCTTTAATTGTGGTTTTAGCTATTGTCCCCTTTGCACTTCGAATTTTCCTTCTGGAACACCCTGTATATTAGTTTCCCTGATTATCGAGTGAGAGGCGCTTGTAGTGTTGAGAGTTTTTTGTTTGCACTTTAAATTTTCTTTTTGTAACATCCTGTATATTTGTTTCCAATCACCTAGAAAATTGACTATGTACTAATTTCATTATTCCGGCAGCACTTTATGAAGTAGTACTTGCTGGCATGTGCGCGGCTATGCAGGTCGTAAGTTTTGCTTCAATATGGCAGCACGTATCCTGTTGAAATATAAACTTGTATTCTATTACTAATAAATAAATAGTAAGATATATTGACTTCTTTGATTTGTGTACACCTTCTATCATTTCAGGAACAGGTCTCTAAGAGAGTTCCCTCTCTCAGGGGATGATCCCCACTATAAAATTGTTTTCTACTCGTATAAATTTATGATGATGCTTCACCTGTCGCTTACCTTATAAGGTTGATGCTACCATCAATTAATAAAATATATATTAAAATGTAAGTGTTTTAATTTTGTAGCACCTTTTTTGCTCAATTGATTTTCGGGTAAAATATCTGATTTTATATTAAAATATTGTTGTTAATTTGTAAATTTCCCTCTTCATATTATGAGTATTGACTCCCTTTGTAGTTTCAATTTTTTTAAACACCCGGTATATTAGTTTTCCTAACAGCACGTAGGAAATCACCTTTAGTTGTGAGTTTTAGTGTTCTATGTTATTGATGGGATTTTCTTCCTAGAAGACCCTGTATATATGTTTTCCTTTGTGTCCGCGAAAATTTTGCTTTAATTGTGGTTTTAGCTATTGTCCCTTTGCACTTCGAATTTTCCTTCTGGAACACCCTGTATATTAGTTTCCCTGATTATCGAGTGAGAGGCGCTTGTAGTGTTGAGAGTTTTTGTTTGCAAAGGTATCCTGGGTGATTTGTGTGCTTCTTCTTTCATTTCAGCTACAGGTCAGAACTTGTAAGAATATTTTGAAGTGTCACCTCTCTTGAGGCGACTTAAAACTTAGAAATATTTGAACAAGACCTTATAAGGATTGTCCTTATAAGGAGTTCCCTCTCTCTGGGGTGATCCCCACCATAAAATTGTTGATATGCCTGATAATTCCGGGGATGAAGCGCAGAGACATCGTAGCTGTAGGATGGGCCGGGAGCGATGGACGCATCGAAGCAGTAGACTGTCTAACGACACGCGCCAAAAAATTTAAAAATCTGATCCGCTCCTGTTGCTCTTTCTTCTATCTCCTCCTCAAACTTGCCTTAAACACTCACATCTCCAACACTTCACCTATAGATATTGCAAACTCCATTCGTGCATTCACAAACTACTTGTCTGGGCATCAAAGTTGTTCATTTGCTGGAATTAATTATATATCCAAGCGATAACTGAATGCCGACGGACGCGCGCGTACAGGTGAATCGAGAATTAATCCACGATTGTTAAACACAGCAGCATGCATTCACGCTTGTAAAACCCCGGTCAACCCCGATTCTGGTATATGCAGTCGATTGCTTAATGAATATAAATCAATTTACTTAATTATGATCTGAAGTAACAGGACACGCGCACCACACTCGACGCCCGGAATTGAATTGCGTGTGCAGCAAAATGCATACAGCCAACTGCGACAACACGAGGTCACTATCAGTATTGCGCGATACGTTCGCAGAACGCAGCAACAAAATTGTTTACATACAAGTCCCGCGCGTACAGATCCTTACTATGGGTGCATAGCAAGCAGTGCCTGTTTTTCTTCCCCACTCTGTTTTCTCTTCCTTCTGTCTTCTACTCTTCTCTACTATTCCTTCTTCGACTTCTCCCGATTTATTTCCCCGTTCTCCGTTTCTCCACTTACTTTCTTACTTCTCTTATTGCCTTCACTTGTACTTCAATTTCTCTTATATTTCATTGCAATTCATATATGCAACCCAAATTACACCTGATATTTTTATGTTTGAGAAAAATACCTTCTATACCTGGGATTCGATCCGTGTCTGCCAGCATGCCAGCAGATGCACGTCTCCACTCGACCACCGAGTGTTTTTATTATTGTTATTTGATTCTTCTGTATATGTTTCTACTTTAATCAACTTTTTAAAAACAATAACACAAGCCTTGGATATGTTGCACACGCTCCACGCACTGTACTATACTATGGTGTACAATTAGAGTTCAACTTGACTTAATACTAATCCTGAAAACGATCAACTGAACACTAGGGCACATGCAAACAAGAATGTAAAACTAAATCTTTATTGACTGAATCTTTTTCAATTATTATAAAACAATAACATGGTGCAAGATTTAAAAAGTTAAATAAAAGTAAAATTTTATTTGATGTTACTTACTCCTTTGTTCTTATATCAATAAAGGACTAAGGCGCACAAACACGTTCCCGCAAATTGTATGTATTATTGATGATACACACTTCTTTTCCATTCCACGCAGATATTCTAAATGTATTCACATCAAACACATAAATTTAACTTCATTTAACTCCAGTAAGTATCCATAGTCACCGGAACATATCCGACAGACGCCACGCGCACTCCGCAAAAAAATCACTTATATCATTCGTGCCCCTGATCGTCAATCGATTTAAGTAATGCAACAAAATATCAAGAATAGCGAGAAAGTCTCACCATGTTTAGTTAATGAACAAAACACGAGCGCACTCGCAACAGCGCTCAACCGACTAAGCCGAACTAAGCAAGACAGATTGATAACCAACCCGCAAATGGAGGGGCATTTTTCTATATGCATACGGCAGAAATGCAATAACAACCATGTAGCAAGATATTGTTAAACATAAAAGCTGTGTATAAAAGTGACGTACGCACCGCAACTCAGCGCACAAGAAACAACCACAAAATTTAAGTATGAATTTAAACCAAATCGATGGAAGCGTCATCTGTCCGTAGCGGAACCAAACAAAATAGATAGCTGCCACTAGCGCATAATCAAGTTATGAAACTTTGAAATTACAGAAATCTGCATCTGCATTGCTAATATTTAACATTTAATTCACTTTAGATTAAAGACAATTATTTACGAAAATTATATACAAATTCAATACTTACAATCTGATGAAAAAATCGTTGTCCTAGGACATTTAGTTCTCCCGTTAGACGTCTAAAACTACCAAAAACCAGTACTTCGAAGCACAAAAATTATCTTTTTGCAGGTTTCCCGGGTGCTAATCACACAAATTATTTATGAAAATGATAAACAAATTCAATACTTACAATGTGATAAAAGAATCGTTGTCCTAGAATATTCCGTTCGCCCGCTAGACATCTAAAACAACCAAAAATTAGCATATCAATGCTCAAAAATGGCATTTTCGCAGGTTTACTGTGGGCTAATCACACAAATTATTTATGAAAATGATAAACAAATTCAATACTTACAATGTGATAAAAGAATCGTTGTCCTAGGGTATTGCGTTCGCCCGCTAGACACCTAAAACAACCAAAAATTAGCATATCAAAGCACAAAAATGACATTTTCACAGGTTTCCTGTGAGCAAATCACACAAATTATTTATGAAAATGATAAACAAATTCAATACTTACAATGTGATAAAAGAATCGTTGTCCTTGACTGATCCTGAAGACGACTAAGTAAACACTAGGAATAAATGCGAATAAGAATATAAGATTAAGTAATCCATTATTAATTGAATCATTTCAAATTATTATAGAACCAATAAGATTGTACCTGTAATTCCATTCCTAAAGTACCAAAGCGCACAACACGTTTCCGCAAATTGTTAGTAGAGTTGATGCACGGGAAGCACATATTTTCAAAAAAAACACTTACATTCCTGGTATACACATAAATTTAATACTAAAACTATTAATTTTATTACTTTCAATTGTGAATACGTAATCCATTGTATGTTTTTAAAATATTTATTTATAAAATTCTACGTGATTTAATTGGATTTTACAATTTTATATGTTGAGTTAAGATGTTTCGCCCTGAGGGCATCTTCATAAACTTCATTAAATTCATAAACTTAGTTGCCACGTGCGTACGCTCAATTTCCATGAGTGATAAATCATTCACTAAACGGTATTATTATTACGCTGGTCATTAGTAAACTTCGGTGATTGCCGACCGATTCTAATATCAACACCGAATGGAAAATATGACAAAGAGGCCAACTAATAAACAAAACACGCGCAGCATCGAAAGCAGCGTAAAACAGACTGAGCTGGAAAAGAAAATGACAAAACATAGAAATAATCACGATTGTGTCGCTATCTATGTGTAGTAGGTCAAACCTATTTGCTTGTTATAAAACTTATGTTGACAGTAGCGCCATCTAGTTTTAGAAGAATCAACTACATATAGACAGGAAACTGTAATGCTGCTTTTGTTATACAGCGATCTAAAAAATTTATAAGTGCAAAATAGTGTTTAAGAAATAATTTGAATTACCTTAACTGATCTACGGAAGATAATTGTGCACAGTTACAAGAAACCTACAACAAACAAAAATTAATGCCTCAAAAACCTAAAATGGCAATTTTCTGTTGTCACAGTGTGTTAATACTAAAAGTTAATTTTGAAACTAAGGAGGAAATTTGAAAGTTACTCTTCTATACAAGCACAAGATATGCACAAAATAAGATAATGTTCAACAGACAAGCTAAGTAAAGTATTCACTTACTGTACGCTATACAGTTTTAACAATGTTCTAACGTTAGGAAAATGTGTATCCCTTATTTAGTATATCCCTGTACAGGTCTAGAGAAAAATTGCATAAATTAATTTTACTGAATTTCACTTACCTTGGTCACAGATATCTTTATAATGCTTATTTAATCTCATGTTCTACGGTCATATCTATGTGTTGCGCTTTATTTTTATTTTAGTTTGAAATTGAAATTATTATAATTGAAGTTAGAGAGATAACGATGGGAAAGACATCTTGTTACCTCTACCTTCATCAACAGTCATTACCTTGATATCATCGGTTGACTTGGATCTTTGTTTTGTATCCAATTTGCCTTTACCCTCTATGTACTTCCTCTTTTGATCATGAGCATGCTGAATGGCCGCCTTCTCAGCAGGCGTTAGCTCCAGTAATTTGGGATCGATGGACATCCAATCTGAATTCAAGATCTGCTCGACTCGCCACCGCTTCGTCACTTCCGGATCCAGTAGATGTGATGCGGCCCTCTTCACTTGTTCACTCAATGTATCTACGACTTTAGCGCGAAACTTCCATCGGCGATTTATTTGCTGCTCGTACAACTTTTTAATATTACCGTCGTCAAATGGCATCGCTTTGTTGAGCATTATATACAAAATAACACCGAGAGACCAAACGTCTGCAATTTTTGCATGGTATGGCACACCACGTAAAATCTCCGGTGCGGCGTACGATAAGGAACCGCAGTAAGTTTCGCTCGTTACGCGCTTTCCATTATAATCGATCACAAACCGCGAGAAACCAAAATCGGCCAGCTTCAAATTATAGTTACTCGTGATCAGCGCATTTTCGCATTTCAAATCGCGATGCGCAATTTCCATCTCGTGTAAGTACTGAACAGCCAGGGCAAGTTGCCGCATCCAAACACGACATTGCGCTTCAGATACAGCGCCTTTTTTCACGACAAACTCAAGCAGGTCACCATTTTCAGCAAATCGCATAAAAATAAAATACTTCGACTTGCGTTGGAAGATGTTTTGAATGTGTACAACATGCGGGTGGTTGAGTTTGACGAGAATATCAAGTTCACGAGGAAGAAACTTTTTAACGAAATCTTTGGGCGCTTTAGATGTGTCTATAATCTTGCATGCCAGCGATTGCGACTTTTCCGGTTCTTTCGCATTCGTGTATTCGGTTAAGTAAACCTTCGCATAGCTGCCTTCGCCCAACTTTCTCACGAGTTTGTAGCCTCTATTTGCAAGAACGTTATCTTCCGATGGTGTTGTTATGACGTCCTTGGACATAGCGGCAAAAGTATTACATAATTTCGCTTGCAAATAATTTAGAAAAACGCATTGACAAATTGTGTCATAATTTATACACAATTACTCAACATTCAGTTGCACATGTCAATATTATATTATACTTACACCTCATTGAAAAATTCACCATAAATCGACATCTTTTGAAGGAACGGTTGCGGGCGGCACGTCAACAAGGAATAATTCTCCTCCCAGGTGATATTCGTCGGTTGCTTCGCACGACTGCGAATTTTCATCAAGAGTTCTTGCAGATTATACTTCTTCTCTATTGGCAACGGTTGCTCCATAAAATCCGGTAAGATACTCTTATCAGAGTCGTCTTTCGGTGCTTGGACCAAAATTGCTGGCTCCTCTTCGGAATCAACTGTAACATTGAATGCCTCATCATCCATTTGGTAACTCTTTGACGACTCCGTGGTTATTTCATCCATATCACTTATTTCAGTCACAGGCTCTTCTACAATCGGCGCCTCATTCTTTAACTTTTTAACTTTCACTCCTCGGAAAGTATCTTTATTTGAAAGCAAAGCATCTAAATCATGGAGCTGTAACTTTGGCATTGTATGGCAGCAATGTAAAGCTGCAGGATCAATGGGATGCGCTTCGGTGTTAAATATATAACCACCAGCATCAATTACACACTTGCCATTTGGTGTTTCAATAGTTGTTCCGTGCTGGCCAGAATTATGGATAAAATTATCAGTGTCAAAAAGAAGATAAAGATATTTCGTTGTTTCTGCGAGGAAAAACGATTCCATACGATCTTCTTTTCTATGATCACGCACATCTTTAATCTATTAAAAATATAAATATAAAAATGTGTATATCATATACGATGTTATTGTTTGATAAACTTACTGTTGCATAACCGCAAGGTGTTTTCGCACTGTGTTGAATACTTTTCAGGATATCGACACCAGCTTGAATTAAAAATGGATCACCAGTAGCCCGATATAGATACATTATCGACTCGATAAGCTCCGGTCTTAGAGGATACGTTTCCCGATTCGTACCGGCTTCCATTTGAGGAATATTATAAATCTCCGGTGTAAAACCATATTGAGACCACACTTGATGATAGTTATGCAATGTTTTCATTGCGTTTGATGTTTCACCTATTAAAATCATATAATATAAAATATTATTCAATTAAAATTATATAAGTACTTACCTAGAAGACTTAGTACACCAGGCCAGTAAGCTTCCAATGATTGAAAAACCGGAATAGTTACTTGTCCCTTAGTCATAGACACCCAGAGATACCAATCATCCCTCTTTAAATACTTTTCAATACCTTTACGAGCAATATGAAACATTTCAAGCAATTCAGGTTTTTGTAATAAGATCGATCCTTTGACTAAATATTCAAAATACGAGTCAACGCCGCTTCCAATTCCAGAATCATGTGCTGTCCAGCGCCCAGTTGCGATGTCAATGTGATTGCCAAAAAGACCGATATAAGATCGATGATTGAAAAGCGAATACAATGCATTCATCGCTACTTCCTCATAGATTGGATCACCAGTCAGCCGGCTCAACGTACCGAACTCTACAATAAATGTACCAATACCAGCGGTGCATGTTACTGTTGTTTCAGCCTTCGGTACGCCATTTTGAAGATTTACGGTTCCATAGGGCATTCCAGTCGGAGTATCAAACGCGATTATCAGTCTTTTGGCAACATCTTCAGCAAGCCTCAACAGGGGACCATTACATGGCCATCCAGGCTCTAATTTTATACCAGCTCTAGAAATAGCATATTAAATAATATTATGTAAGTTAAACATGTAAAAGATCTTACTTGTGTGATAATAAATGAGCACTCAATAATCCACCTATGATTCTAATGTTTGTCTCAAAAACAGACACATTTATATTGGAATCAAAGTTTTCTTTGGTTGTTAAGATATCTACTACTCTTTGAAACTCTGTGTAATTGCCCATTATTGCTAGAGTGTCCAATGCATCAATGAGAGTCAATGAATAGCTAAAAATAATATATTGTACACTATTCATTTATTTATGTATAGATTTGGAGTACCTTCCATAAGTATCAACTCCATCACAACTGATTGGCCTCAACTCATCATAAGGGTAAGCAAACTTTAAATAACTATCATAGGCGTGGTAAAACATCTCTTTGACTTCATCTCTACAAGCACAACATAAAACAAGTTACGTTTTGATGAAATGATAAATAAGACAAATGAATATTTACATGAGAAGCTTACTAACCGAAATTTATCGATTTCCTGTTTGCTGTATGTTCTCAGGCCGTGCCCATAGTTGCAAATTAATATTATAAATATAGATATTAGTTTAATTAATTTCGCTTTACGCATTTCTGTCGTGGAACTAATTTAATATTTAAATTAACTACGTGTTTTCTTCTCGCTTGACAACTACAAATGTAAACATAACCTATCAATTTAATCTTTTTTGTTGTGTATGTAAAGTTGGCTACAGTTCCTTCAAGTGCACTTACTAATTAAATATCCGCCGAAAAAAGGTAAATTAATGCAATATTTTGTTTTGACTTTAAATTGTTATGCAATTAGTAATAACAAAAATGTTTGGTTCTTGTTTAAACATATACATATGTACATAAGCTTACTTTTGTTTGATTTATTGATTAATTGAGTGCGAATCTCAATTTAGCGCAAATTGCCGAAAATCAAGTTGATAAAAACATCGTTATCAAATTATTAGAGAAAAAAGAAGAGCGTGCTTCAATTCTATTGGCCCAACTCAGTCATTTATTAATCTAAAGAAATTACTCTATTCCGGTGGACTTATACCAATGTTATAATACTCGCTCCCACTTTTAATGCGTTTATTACGTATGTTGAATAAAAGGCGTAACAAAACTTTCAAAGTCACTATATTTTAGTGATTAAACAAATATGGAGTCTTTCCAACAAATACAGGATTTAATATCGCCAAAATTAACTTGGAAAGTGTTTGAAACAGTGTTAAAAAAGCAAAATTGCAGTGAAAATGTAAAATTAATAAATATCACACTTGGAAAACCGACCAAAAAGGGAGATTCATATTTAAGTACAGTGACACGTTTCTCCGTTGAATATTCTGGAGAAATCAGGTAAAATAGACACAAATATAAGACATTTTCTTTAAATATTTAACTTTTGATTTGTTTGTAGTGGTACCAGTAAAGTATTTAAGTTACATGTAATTGGTAAATCTTTACTGAAGAATATTGCACAAAGAAAAACATTCCGTAACTCCGATTTCTTCACGAATGAAATTCGTTTTTATCAACAAGTATGGCCGGAGATGGATGCATTCCAAAAGGAGTTATTAAATCCTAATCAATTGTTTAAGGAGATTCCCAAGTACATTATATCGTTGTTAATATAATTTATAAATAATAAACTAATATTGTTTTTAGTTATCTTTGCGGGGAGTTTGATGGCACAAACGATTATATTTTATTAGAAGATTTGTCATTTCAAGGCTACCAGGGTGTCGACCGATCCGATGCGTTAACATTTGAAAAATCAAAACTTGTTTTAAGAATATTATCACGTTTCCACGCACTTGGATATGCTTTCAACGAAATGAAACCTGATCTATTTCTACAGACAGCTACGAAACTAAATGAGACATATTTTCACGCTAACTTTCGTACTTGGTACACGAAATTTCAAAGAAATGTGATTAATATTACATTGGATGCAGTACAACAAGAACTCCCAGAGCAATACGTTAATAAATTTAAAGAAGTTGCGTCCCGCGATGTTTACGGGTATGATTATTCTTATTAATGTTAAACAAAACATAATTATTTAAAATTTTATTATAGGGAAATTATAGATTTATGTTCTCCTACAGCAAACACAAAATTTAAGACAATCACACATGGAGATACGTGGATGCCGAACTTTTTGACTCGTTATGACGAATCAAAGCAACCAATACATTCTGTGATGATTGATTTTCAACTGACAAGATATTCTTCATTGGCCCAAGACTTGCATTTCTTTATTTACGCTTGCACAGATGCTGATATGCGAGCCGAGCGCTATGAAGACATGTTGAAGTATTACTGCCATGAATTCAATGAATTTTTTGCTCAATTATGCCCCAAACATGTACAAAATGAAGTTGCATTAAGTTATGATGATTTGATGGATGAATTGAAAGCTAATGGGATGTTTGCTTTGAGTATGTCTATGGAAGCTTGCATTATGTCAATGCTAGATGATGATGAAGTTTCTGATTTGGATCAAATTGAAGTATGTATTGATTATTTCATTATGTTCAGTTATTATTATTATTATTATTTTAATAGGGACAAGATGCCGTTCCGTTGGAGACAGTATGGATTGTAAAACCTTTGAAAACCAAAGAAAAACGCGTGAAACTAGCGCAGATCATTAAGCATATGATGGATCACAATTTTATTTAATACTTTTCTTAATTTATACTTGTTTTTGTGTATAATTGGGCAGATACATAGATCTAACCAAACACGAGAGCAGTTTTGTAGCAAATTTGTATTGTATTGTGAAATAAATCGACATATAAAAAGACAATGTGTTTTAATTTCATTTGTTATTAAAAAAATATAACCTAACAATAATTTATTTATTATTTCTTGCTATAAATCACAGCAAAGTAGTTGATTATAACGATATTTTAAACACAGATAACAAATCTGTTAGGCAATCGAGTTTTACTCATATCTTTGACTAGATCATAATTTCAAACGTGATTGTTACGAGATTATTTAATTTGTTATGTAGTTTGGCATTGAAATGAATGAGTCTCATTAAATTGCGTTGTAATCGTGCAAAACAAGTTAACTCGTCCACGTTGTCAAGAGCATGGAAAATTGTAGGAAATATACTAATATTTGCTGAATGCGGCATATAAATTTCTTTGATTTATTATCAGCAGTATTGTTGACAGATAATACTTTATAGTGTGTAAACTTGACTTTTGTGTAGTACATGTACAGTGCGTGGTGGTGCTTAGAAAGTTATTGAACTTGATACAAACATAACATGCTTTAATTCTATTGGTCCAGCTCATCATTTCGGAAATTTTAGGCACATACATTCTACACTACGAGTATAAAGCATAAAAAACAGATAAAACAGCATCAGAGACACACGGGATCAATACAATCTTTAAAAATGGAACAATTTAAACAAATACAGGATTTAGTTTCACCGAAATTTACTTGGGAGGTGTTCGAAACTGTTTTGAAGAAGCAAAGCAACAGTGATAAAGTAAAATTAATCAATATTACACTTGGAAGCGAGACAAGTAAAGGAGATTCGTATTTAAGTACAGTGACACGGTTTTCAGTTGACTATACCGGAGAAAACAAGTAAGATACACGTTAGATCATTAATAATTTCTATAAATATTTATGTAAATGTTTGTAGTGGTGACAGCAAACCATTTAAACTGCATGTATTTGGCAAATCTTTGCTGAGAAATGTTGCGCGAAGGAACACATATCGCAACTCAGATTTTTTCGCCAATGAAATTGTTTTCTATGAGGAAATATGGCCAAAACTTGACGCATTCCAAAAGGAATTTAATGCGTTGAAAACAATTCAACTTTATGACGAAATTCCTAAGTAAATATTCGTTTTATTTAAATTATCAAATTTATAAATCAAATTAAATCTATTTTAATTTATTATTCTAGTTATTTATGTGGTGAATTTGATGGGTCAAACGATTATATGCTTCTTGAAGACTTGTCCTATCAAGGATATCAAAGTGCAAGTCGATCAGATGCATTGACATTTGAAAGAGCAAAACTTGTTTTAAAAGTATTATCAAAATATCACGCTCTTGGATATGCATTTAAAGAACTCCACCCGGAATCATTCCAGGAAACAGCTTCCAAATTAAGGGTAAAAATGAAATATACATGTTTTTTTGTGCGTTTCCTATCTTGGTATTTATTATTTATAGGAAACTTATTTTCACGATGATTTTCGCGGTTGGTACGCCAAGTTCCAGCATAATCTTTCAATTATTACCTTGGACGCAGTGGAAAAAGAACTTCCTGAAGTTTACGGCAATAGGTTGAAAGAAATATTCGCTCGTGATTATTATGGGTAACTTATTAAGTTTAAAATAATTTAATTTACTGTATTTACATTTTCTTATTGTATTATAGTGAAGCAGTGGCTTTATGTGCACCATCAGCAAAAACAAACTTCAAAACAATCGCGCATGGCGATACGTGGATGCCTAATCTGTTAATCCGTTTCGACGAGAAAAAACAACCGGTTCATTCTGTGTTGATCGATTTCCAACTCGCAAGATATGCTACTGTTGCACAAGATTTACTTTTCTTCACCTACGCTTGTATTGATGAAGATTTACGCGCCAACCACCGCGAAGACCTCATAAAGTATTACTGCCAAGAATTCAGCGCATTTTTCGCTCAATTTGTCCCCGAAAACCCAAATGTTTTAACTTATGATGCTATGGCTAAAGAAATGAAAGCGAATGGAATGTTTGCGTTCAATATGACTATGGAAGCTATCATCATGTCATTGTTAGACGATCATGAAGTTCCCGATTTGGATGAAATGCAAGGCGAAGAGGCTGTTCCACTAGAAATTGCACTAAGCATCGTAACACTTTTAAAAACAAAAGAAAAACGTCTTAAAGTAGCAAATATTTTTAAGCACATGATGGATTTAAACTATGTTTAATCTAACTTAAGTTAATTAATGTATGTATAGAGACTATATTAAAGAGGTGAAATTATTTTATTGGAACAACATAAAGTTTTTAAAACAGATTCAACTAGATATTATATAATATTATTTTATCAGCACAACACAACCATATTATAACATATTATACAAGAGGCGCAAGTGTATTATAGTAACTGTCCAGCATAATATTATACGTACGGCGGTTGCAACGGGAATTTATCGTTTAAATTGTTTTTTTGGTATTTTACTCGGTAGTTTTTTTTTTTAAATGTCATCTCGCTACGCTTTTCTTCACTACGACGAGCTAGTGTCTTCACTAATGTATTTAATAAGTATTACACATAAAATGTTATCGATAGTGCCTTGAGCTAAAGAGAGAATCCCTCAACATTCGGTGTTTATTCCCGGCGCACACAGACGGAAACTATCAGCGAATCAATGTGGACGAAAGTTTCGCGTGGCTAATCGACCACCAGGTTGTGCACTGTAACCCAATCGCCAGGAAGCCACGCACGCGCTAATAAGTGCCGTGGAGTTTTTATTTTATTTTAGTGTGTTTTTTCTTTGCTTCGATTTGAAAAGCGACATTTCTACGTTTATGACTGATGCATGATCAGTTCGTTTTTGAGTAAGTACATACCATATATCATTTAGTTGTGTATTAAGCAGACCGTTTTGAAGATTGACGTAATAAGTTAGAATACATGCTTATTACTAATTTGTATGTGTGATTACTTTTTGTTTTATACATATACTGTTACCTCTAAAACACACAACACCAAGATAAAACATAAAGTACAATTAATATACATGTATAATGTGTATTTAATTTACTCTCCGATTTTTTTTTGCGTTTTCTTTATCATTTTTTCATCTTCCCACTTGACTATCCGATTTTCATATATCAAGTTTAAGTATCAAGTGACTTGATTAACAAAATAATGGTTGGTTTTAAAGAACGAGAAGCATTCTTAGAATAAGACAGTACTTTCGACTTAAGTCTACGCTTAAATGACGAATGATTGAAATGAATCGTGACCAAAAACACACGCAAGTGTTAGATTTTTAGTTATGTGACTAATGCAGATGATGAATTCTCTAATCGAATGCAGCACTTAATCGTAGCGAATCTTTTCTTTTTAGTTTAAATAGATTAGTAAATTGTTATCTGAACAACCACATACGTAATAATTAATGACTTTTGACTAATAAGTTGAAATATGTTTGCTTCATTTGTATTTAATATCCAATAGTTAAACGTGATCCTATAGATAGAATAATAAGTGATGTAAAGATATATAGAATAGAGATTCCATCCGAAAGTCGCGTTAAACACATTTTCGGAAATGTATTTGGTCAAATCAGATGAACGTGATACGCATTTCAACATAATCCGCAATCCTTGCATTTGTTTGATTTTTGTTTTTTGGTTTAAAGCTTGAACGTTTACGTTTACCCCTATTGTATAAGGGCGCGAGTAAGACTTGTTTATAACAATTCGCCAAACATATATGATATGGAGATGTTATCCCGAAAATGTGTTTTCGTATAAATATCAAATCCAACAGCAAGTCATATTATTTATAAATTAATTTAAAGATAATGTTAATGTTAGATAATCGAACGTTATCATTCATTTGTTTTAATTGTGTTAGTGTTAATGGCATTACTATATCTCTTAAACGTCGACGACCATCTTTTTATGTATGTCGGTGTTGCCAACCACCGAACAAAACTCTTCGAAAGAAATTTTGCCGTCTTCGTCCTTATCGGCGAAGAGAATCGTTTTATCAACAATTTGTTGAAGTTGGGTGTCTTTGAGATTATTTCCAACCATCATTTTTAGCACCTGTAAACAAGTCTTAATAACACTCGGCATTTTCAAAGCAACTGAACTAAAAAAAAGCGCAAGGAGTGATTTTTGTTAGATTGAATTCATGCGCTAGGAGCGTACGTTCAAAGTACGACTGGTTGCAGACAACCACCTGTCAAATAATGTATGTTCTGCGATTGCGCAGAGTAAACCACCAATCAGAGCAAAGAATGACAAAAGCGCGAAATAGTTTAGAACAGAAACATAAAGTTACGTACCTGGAACAGTTCCCCATTTGAAATATACCCATCATTATCCATGTCGTAAATTCGGAACGCAAAGCGCAATTTTGATAGTTTATCACCTTTGACACTGAATTGAGAGACACCCTGTATAAATTCTGAAAGCATGCTCAAACAGAATTAGGTCATTCTACACACAGACAAATCCACACAAACAATAGCCTTACCTTTAAAATCAACCTCCCCATTTCCATCAGCATCAAATATATCAATAACACGTTGTACCAGAGGATTCTGTTGAAGCTCAGGTAATGACATAAACTCATCAATGCTCAGTGCACCTGAGTTGTCCAAGTCCAGTTTCTTGAAGCGTTTACCCAGGCGACGAATTTCATCGGCGTCGACTACAAATAAACAACAAGTCAGTGGAGCACCTCAATTTCACAATCACAATACACATAATTAGTGAATCTACTGGCAGGTGCAGCCAGCTACTTAATAATTAATGTGTATCAGCATGCAAGTGGCTGAATCCAAGTGTACTTACAATTTGAGCATAGCTCCATGGGCAGAGAGGTTTCATTACCCTGAAAATAATCAATAGGAAAACATTTATTTCTTTGCAAATAATATTTGGAGAAATGGGCTTGCCCAGAAGGGAATAACAACCATTTTCGCGCAGTGCGCCGAGTGTGCACCCACAGCAATGGCTTATTTAACTCAAGACTAATTATCAAAATGCAATTACCATGATTATTATGCGGCCGTCACTCTTTAATTACTAAAATAACTACAATTATCGTAAAATGTGCTCGCTGATACACTACACTCTAGTACCTACTGCGTACCATTTCTTCGAGGGGGCGCTGGTGTGCACGGCGCAGCAGCGACGCGGTTTATACAAATATTCAATCAATGAGCGTAGCAGGTTGTATGTGTGCATAAAAACATAATTAATTTAATTAAAACTCATTAATCATGTATGTAAACATTTATTGCAGGTGCAATTTAATTGTTTCTCCGGGAAATAGGTTTCTTTTGGCATCTACAACTTTTTTGACAGCCTAAAGTAAAAATAACTCATGCGAAAATGAAATAATACTGCCAGTTGAATTAGTGTAGGTGGACGGAATGCACTCAAAAGCAGTAAAAATGTCATTTGTTTAAATAACAAATGAAATCACGTCCTGCGCCTGGGAAAAGCAGAACTATTAATAGTTTCAGATGCAGTCTGACCATGCAAGTTATATAATTATTAGCAAACAATTATTTTGTTCATATTCTTTGCTAAATAAAACAAAATAAATTTTTCATTGCAATATAAATTAAATAATAAACAATGAGAATTAAATTTTTGTTAATTGATAATCGAAGTAGACAACCAAATGTACTATAAAAACGTGGCAACCGTGTCAATTTACAAACTACAGTGTTGGCAAGAAAGATGTCACTTTTGTCAAGTTCACGGCTAAAAATATCCGGCTCCCCGTCGGACTCCAATCAGATCTGCCTCCTTTCAATATCCAGCTAGCGAAGTACGATGGCTGCCGGAGTAAGTATTTTGAACGAATCAATCTAAATCACCTACAATAATAGGCCATCGTGACTTAAATTCGATAGATTTTGATGTCTGGAAGTGTATACGATTGATTAACAGGCATATTTTCTTTCAGACTTTATACACTTATCCCGAGAATTTTCGTGCGTACAAGGCGCTCGTAGCGGCTCAATATGCATCTGCCAACGTCAAAGTTGCAAGCAATTTTGTGTTTGGGGAAACCAACAAAACCGCAGACTTTTTAAAGAAGTTCCCCACAGGAAAAGTAAGTGCATTTATAATCTAAGCAATTTTTATGTTATTAAAATTTTTATTTTATTTAAAGGTTCCGGCATTCGAATCAAATGATGGCAAGTGCTTAACCGACGGCAACGCAATTTCATACTATGTGGCCAATAATCAGCTGCGCGGTGGCAGTGATTTTGATAAAGCACAAGTATTGCAATGGATGAGTTTTGCTGACAATGAAGTTTTGCAAGCTGCTGTCCCCTGGGTGTTCCCTGTAATGGGAATTGTACAGTACAACAAGAATGTAAGTTTCTCTAACCTTATTTTATGTTTCTACTCTCATCAAAGGTGGATTTTTGCATTTTAATTGCACAATTCATAACAAAGTAGAGTTATAGCAAGTTGACCATTCAATTCTTTTGAATGCCTTGAGGACCAAGAGTTAATAATGTTCATACATCAATTCACAACTTGGCTATGATTTGCTGCATGTATTCAATTGCATAAGCTTTACTTATAAATAGATCTGAATGTTTTAGAACTTTGAGAAGGCCAAGGAAGATGTGAAGGCTATCATGAGTGTGTTAAACACACATCTGTCCACAAGGACATATCTTGTTGGTGAAAGAATCACACTGGCAGATATCAGTGTGGCTTGCACCTTACTGCATCTGTACTCCAAGGTGATGGATCCCGCATACCGTAAGCCATATTCACATGTCAACCGTTGGTTCCTCACTGTCGTCAACCAGCCACAATTCAAAGCTGTCAACGGCGAACCTAAATTGTGCGATAAACCGGCTGAAGTAGATCCTAAGAAGTTCCAACAACAACAGCAACAATCAGGTATAGATTTAAAATATTATTTTAATGATGATCTCATAATAACCAATTTATCATGCAAGCTGCTCTTAATAATCATGTGGAAAATAACAAATCTAATAATACTACATCTGAAACTAAAACTAGTAAAAAGAAGAAGAGTAAGTACACCTCATTTAAATAATAATCTCTATACCTGAATGCTACTTACAAAACATTTCATTTTTATCTTATCTCATCTTATCTTTAACAACTTTAAATAATTAATTAAATTAACATGAAAATTGAAAAAGTAAATAAATTAAATTAATTAAATAAACAGTTAATGATGAATTTATGACGACTTATTAAAGTGATTGTTCGTTTCTGTAGGCAAAGCAAAAGATAATAAGAAGGAACAGAAGAAGGAAGAAAAGAAAGAACAAAAGAAAGCTACTCCCAAGAAGGAGAAAGAACCTGAAGAAGAAATGGACGCTGCCGAGGCCGCACTTGCCGCTGAACCTAAAAGCAAGGATCCCTTCGATTCCCTCCCCAAAGGCACATTCAACATGGACGACTACAAGCGTTGTTACTCCAATGAGGATGAATCTGTCTCAATTCCGTACTTCTGGGAGAAGTTCGACGCCGAGAACTATTCCATCTGGATGGGCGAGTACAAGTACAACGAGGAACTCGCCAAGGTGTTTATGAGCTGCAACCTTATCACCGGAATGTTCCAACGTTTGGATAAAATGCGTAAACAAGCCTTTGCGTCGGTGTGCCTATTCGGCGAGGATAACAACAGCAGTATCTCCGGTATCTGGGTGTGGAGAGGCCAAGAATTGGCATTCCCCCTCAGCCCCGACTGGCAGATCGATTACGAGGTGTACGACTGGAAGAAACTTGATCCTAAGTCTGAGGAGACGAAGAAATTAGTCGCGCAATATTTCTCATGGACTGGCACCGACAACAAAGGCCGAAAGTTCAACCAGGGCAAGATCTTCAAATAATAAGCGCTTTAAGAGATTCCCGAGAGCCCAACGCTGTAACATCTTCTTTTCTTGTAAAGATACTTCTACTCATTTGTAAATTAAAGGCAGATCATGTTGTGTGGGAGAAACAATTTTCGTTTTGTTAGATTTGTTGGGTTTGTTATTCTGGTCAGCTGGATTGTGTTTCACTCTTTACTTTTGATGAACTGTTCTGTAGAGGCTGTTACAGCTTGGTCTGTCAACTTTGATCCCGGTTTATAATTTATTTTTTCAACGGTTCGTAATGCAAATCGCGACTTGTCACAATTTTAATAAAGATTCAATCTAATATGAAAAGTGTTTACTTACGATTCTCCAGATCCTGATACGTTGTGGGTGAATCTACTTCCACGAGGCACGCTAAACAACACTTAACCTCATGCCACTAAGTCAAATCAGCCCGGATAATATCAGGAACGTGAAAACCTGCAACTGCACCACGTGAGCACTCAGAGATGACTAAGCGCATTGCGCGCTGCGCGTTGTCCTTCTAAATCTGATACCAACCTGTTATGAGTGGTGGGGGTAGGCCAACTGGTACAACTAGTGCGTGCGGTGGTGTTTTGCTAATAAAAAACACTCCTGCAACAAATATTAGCAATATTTTCTTATAACACTCGAATTTAAAGATACCGAATATGTTGCAATAAAAGTCACATTATATAAGTACAAAATATAATAATTAATTGTACATTTTGAGAATGTTTCCACAACTTAACAACATGTATCCATTTTGTAGTTTTCAATGCCAACAACTCAATATAATCGTCGCATTCAGCTCTTGCGCTGTGAGGGCACATTTATAAACAGTGGCAATCAGCTACATCTTGGTTTGTGCTTACAATAGTATGGAAGATCCATTGAAAGCGAATGAAACAATTTCGTGCAAATGAATGACACTTAACAGGGCACAAATCATTGTTTTCGCGTTTTGCTCAACAGACAATAATATTACAACATTTTCATTTTTCATTTAATTATACAATATATTCCATCATGATGATTGATTAGTTAATTTCATTACAAGTATCATTTGTTAACTATAATATGAATTCGAATAAAGATGTGTGAAAAATTAACGTTGAATATATATGTAATAATATGGATATAATATAACAATCATTAAAATTTTGAAATGTTTTTGCAAAAATATAAAATGATCTTTTATATTTTGTACATTTAAGACTCGTATATCTATACTTTGTTGATTTACACGCTCGATATTATACGATGTTTACTTTTACGGTTGTTTCTTTATATGTGGCATACGTTTGGCGATAATGTTATCAATTTGTATCAAAATATTTCATGTTGTTTCTTCTTCTTAAACATTTAAAAATTTTATTTTATCGGCTAGCTACGAATTACGTAATATAGTCTTTCAGATGCTTAGCATTTTTATAAATAAATATCGCGCTGCATCATCATCATCAGATATACATATATTTAACGTTTACATTATATGTTTTTATTGATATTAACATCAAACATACACAACAGCAAGTTAATTTTGTTTTGTTTTTGTTTGTTTTTCTTTAATTGAATACAATATAGACAGGGTCCACGATAACCTGCCGAGTATTCATCACACACCACATAACACATGCAGTTGCTTTGTTCAATATTAAGAAGACGAAATCGATTGGAAGGAAAAGCCATCCAGCATCAAATGTTCTTCAAGACAAAGGTATAATACGCATCTCTTCAACCTGTATAGTGGCCATAACAATAATTTATCGCCTTTCTCAAGTTAGTACGTACAACCGTGCGAGAAAGAAGAAAGCACAATAATCAACAATGCTAAATTATCCTTTATATTATATATGCACCGACGTCCCGGTCTGAGTTATCCTAGATTGTCCTGCAATCTCCGAAATTTGTTTCATTTTCATGGTGTCTTGTAAACAGTTTATATAATTATGTAAGTGTACATCAACATTTTTTATACATTTATCACTTCTTTTCAAAATATAAACTCGAAAGCTATAAAATTATACTTATACATATCGATAGCGATCATTTACGCAAATGTACTGAATGCTTACGCGCTATAATCGAAGGACTCCCATTCGGAGAATCGCGAGTCTTGTTTCTGCAGTCTTTGCCTGCACTCCTTCAAGTAGGAATCCTGTATGCGGTACATACCCGAATTGGCTTGAAACATCAGCGTCTCCAAGATGCGCTCGTTCTTAATCGCCTTCGACGGTAGCACAACCTTTACAGAAACATATGTTATAGATGAACCAAAAAGTAATAAAAAGAAGGATTAATTATTTACCTTAATAAGTTCTTGGGGCGTAATCCGATACAATTTCAAATCGCGCGCTAAGCGTTCCATGATACATTTAAATTCTAGTTTGGCATCGAGTTTGCTAGAAGTCTTTGTTCGGATCTTATGCCTTGCCCAACTGAGCATCGCTTCGAATTTTCGCACCTCGGGCACCTCCAGGTTTCTACAATCCGAACAATTAACTTAAATCAACCCAAATGTACTCGCAAACTTCTCCTACCGGCACATAATCATCTGCACCATTGATTCGCTAAGAGTCAAGAACTCGGGCGTTTGGAACAATTGATAAGCTCGCGTTTCTACGAACGCCAGGATCATATTCACCAACTCAGAAGCCGAAGTGTAGCGCCAGTAATAATTTTCTAGTGAACACAGCATGCAGCACACCTTCAAAGCAAAACATTAATTAATTGATCTAAAACAAAACAATAATTATATTAATAAACAACGTACAACTTCGATTCTGAGAAACTGCTTGGCATGATGAAAGCAAGCTTGAAGCAGTTCGGGTAGGTCGTAATGTTCAGCGGCACAAATAAGGCCCGGTATTGTCGAGCAGGTAAGCGGACACGAGCCGGTGTGTAAGTAGTCCAGCAATATTCGAAATGTATCCGGATCGAATTCGATAATCGAGAACTCGGTCTGCGCTAATTTAGCGCGATCAACTTTCTGGGCATCAGCGCACACGCTTAATCTAGGTACGGGAAGTTGCGCTGGTTTTTCTTTATCTTTATCCTTTACTTCTTTATCTGTAAAAAAACAATAAGTAAATGATATTTACGTGTGTTTTCCGTTTTAAATAGCTTACTGGAGCAGTCATGGCTGCTGGCCCATTTCTTTTTATCGTCCGCCGAGAGTGAAGGCGCATTGTGCTTCCGTATTGAACGTCCCCAGCCGGCTGTAATGGTCCCGATGCGGCTGATAGCTCGTCGGACCATCGGCGAGCTAGGCACACTCTTCGGACGCGGTGACTCTATATCCGGCACTTGCAGGAAGTTGCTGCTCTTTGTGCGCGACTGCTGCGGGCTCATCAGGGTGGGTACGGGCCGGGCGAGCAGCTCGGCGACAGGCACTTGGGGAGATCCGAATCCCGTCTGGATTCCGTAGAGCATCTCTTGAAACACGCGACTACGCACGCCGAGGATCGCTCGAACAGCAATGAATTTCGTCTGAAATTCCAACCAAAATCAATGCTGTACTAACAGGTGTAATAGTAATGGCAAAATTTACTTTCTGTTTGGATTGTCCGACCATGAAAACAACGTCAAATAGCTGCGAATTGACGAGGAGGTTTTCCTCGGCGTTTAAGAACATCTTAGTGAAATCTTTAGCGAGCTGATCGTAATCCTCGAATTGATCTCGCACGCTATCTAGTAGAGGTGACGACGGTCGCATGTGACCTATGGGCCTCCAGGAACCTATAAAACGGCCATAAATAAGACGACAATCAATAACGCTGGCCGAGCGGTGGTGGACTGACTCTCAAGTCCCCAAAGACTGACGGCCGGCTTTGTCGGCAATAAGAAAACCTTACCTCGCCGATACGGCTTTGGAATTTGACCGGTCTCGGCGTGGTTCTGCAAATTGGCCACGATGTCCTCGAGCATCTGCGACCGGGTGCGCTCCTGCATGCGGGCGAATTTCGGCGCCGAGTAGCTGGCGCGTTCGCCGTTGACGATTTTCGTCAGCAGCCACTCACGGAACATGGTGCCCTTGTCGAAGACGCTCTGCTCCCACAGATACGGTTTGTAAGCGCCGACTTCGTCCCGGGTGACAACCGACACCTCATAGCGTGTCGGCTTTCGCTTGATCCGCGGCGACGTGCGAACTAAATTGGGTAATACAATTGAATTTTCCTATTTTCCCGCACACCCTAAGTGCCTTAAACTCAGGGGCGTAGCTACCGCCGTATTTGCCGTATCAATTATACGGGGCCCCCGGGTCACGGGGGCCCCCAAAGTGTGTAAGGAAAAACTTTTACCTCCATATAAGGGCCTCCAAAAAAATTTTATACGGGGCCCCGACAAGGCACGCTACGCCGCTGCTTAAACTTATAATACAAGTACATACCGAGAATGAACGTGTGAAGGAAATGGCTTTTTATACACGATGGTGAAAAGGACGTATTGTCAGCTTCGAGGAATACAACGCACACAATGTCGTTTCCGATGTGACGCTTCCTCTGCAATTTTTGTGGGTCGTGCTTTTCGTACGGCAGCTGTGTGCTCACGTGAAACATGATCTCGATGTTACGCCAATTTGTATACACCGAATATAAACCTAGACATTAAATAAATACTCAAAATAAACTTTTGATTTTTTTCTCGCTGAGTTTAATTAAACTTGCCTGTAAGATCGTGCACTGTATCTAAACCACCTTTGTACTTATCGAATCCTTTCAAGCGAACCTTGTCCCCCAAAACCTGCAGGAACTCGTCGAAGAGCGGCGAGTTTGCGTTATTGTCTAAAATTTCCTCCTCGGTGTATTGTCCTTCGACGACATAGATAACGCCCACCTTTAGTTCCGATTTAATAAAAACCTGCAAATAAAAGTCGCAACTTTCTTTATGTCCGCCAACAATTTGCGTCGAGTGAAATTACGCGACTTATGAGGCTTTTAAAAAGTTAACGAGCAATTTAATCTCGCGCGATTTTCCGCGCTGAAAGACTCTCCAGCATTCAACTGAACTCTTTAAAGTAATCAGTCCAAGAAAGGACGATAAAATTATGACTCAAGTTTACTTCTTAATTGAATTTAATTTCATATATTTTTTTACGACTCCTGCTCGTGGATAGTCAGTAATTTTGCAAACCTTTGGGGGATTTGCAGCAGCGACACAAACAGCCCCGGGTGAATAAACGTTGATTGATTATATCCAGGCGATTACAACCCGTCTTAATCCCAGCGCTCGGTCATTCCGTGCGCGCACTTTATTTCCGTCTCTTTTTCGTATATTTTAAAGTCAATCTCAGCTAAATTTAGACGAAAGTAAATATCTCAGCAATGACTGATTATTGCCCGAGAATGAATGTGAAATCAATTTTTGTGTGAATAGACACACATGCACGCCATCTCGGCAAGTTGCGCTCCTTTGTGTAGCAGACCATGCAGGAAAAAATCCATTAATCAATCGAAAGGTTTGGAGAATGTTTGAACATTGGCGCAAAGGGAGCACGGGGCAAAAGTGGAAATTTGAAAATTTAATATTCGCACATACAGGAGCGCCGTAAAAGTCGTTTAATATTTCAGGAGCCAACCTTCGTTACCCGTATTGAGTTGCGCGCCACTTTTCTATTTCCGACTAAATTCGCCGAATCACAAAAGCACACGGTTACGACAAGATTGTGCGCGCTAAACCAAATTTATATTAAATAAAAAAAGTACACAAAATCTTCGTCGGGTATTTTTATCTTAACAAGTAATAACTTTGTGAGAATAAGACTTACCTGATCTAATTTGAGAAGCTCCTCAGGCGTGTCTGGTAACTGACCGAGTGTTAACGGCGGATTGATGTTGACTTCCTTGCCGAGGGATCGTACAACTTCTTCACGATTATATCTGTCGGCGAATACACAACTGGCCGGGATCAATCCATGCACCGTGTAGCTAATGGCCCGCACTAATATTCTGCAAATTGAGAGAGAGAGAAGGAAAGAATTAGATCGTGTTCTAGGAATGTTGTTCCGTTCCGCCGATGATAGTCAGGGCGGTAGTCGTGAGCGAAATTAAATTCCGCGCGCAAATCTGGGATTATTCAAATTATTGAAGAAAATTCCCGGCTTTCATTACGAGGCAGCGCAGCGTAGTTAAGTTTAATCTCGGCAATACAGACCAAACACGCACACAGATCGCCTGGATTTCGGCGTGTAACAAAATGTTTTCCATCATTCAGCTGGAATTGTTGGCGCTTCCTCAGGTGTTAGATTACTTGGATGTAAAAGCATCGTGTTCGCATCGACCTCGCCAGACATAAGAAAGCTTAGCACGTGAAAATATTATTTCAGTAAATAGCGGCTCTCAGCGCAGTGCAGCTTTTTCGAACGCCAAGCGAACGAATATAAATATTTGGAGAGGTGAATGAAAGTACACGAAGAGGTATATGTGAGTACATTCGCTGGGCAAAGAAATAAAAGCAAAAACTGCGATGATAAAAGTATGCTGTAGATGAAAATGCTGCGGTGTCCTTGGTGCAATTGTAAAATATCGATGAATATCGTGCGGAGACGACAGCACGACGACGTGCGATGACATTTTTGGGTGGGTGTGAAGCAGAAAACGCAAAAACGAATTTCCTAAATGGAAACCGTCAAACAGACCCCCGATGCCACCCTTCCTCCACACCCTCCCCCGCCGCTCATTCACGTTCTTCCTTTTCCCTTTTTCCAAACACGCTTTTCGCGCGCCGGAGCTCGTCCGCACGATTGTTATACATTTATCGATTCGTCGAGTGCACACTTAAAATCGGAACGAGCCATCAATCACAAGCCCCGACAACATGTCGAATAACTTGTTATCAATTTGGACGTTTCGCATTTATACGCGCTTTGCATCCTTCGCATCTCTCTGTGTACCATTCCAGCGCTCGCACGTAAACGCGAGTGTGTCATGTATCGTCGTAAATACGTAAACGAGGCAAGGGCTAGGCGTGCGCGCGCGTGATTGTGATGTGCAAACCGAGCGAAATCGCAGCGCAAAATGTCCGTTTTGCTACAATAATAAAAACGCGATTGAATCGATATTCATATTCGCGATTGTGTGCAATGCGATACGCTGGAAATGAATAACGAATGATAGAGGTGTAGCGTCATTGGAATTTTGATGTTATCTACCCGTTTTGACAGCATTCTAGCTGTCACTGATAATGCTACGTCATTGGAATTAATTTATTTCGAGGGGGGAAATATTCACCAAATTAAACAAATATCTCCGGCCTTATCTATTAATGAATATCTTTTAATTTATTGTTCTAACAGTATTATAATAACTGTGAGTAACTTTCGATGTGTATACTATTAATTTAGTGATGACAGCAGCTAATCTATCATTAAAAAACATATTATATCCAAATAAATACTATAAATAATTATATTAGCATTTATAAACCATCAGATGGCGCTAGTTGGAGACAAACATAACCAAGCTATGCAAAGTTGTCAAATTTGATAGTTATAATGAAAATAAAATGTTTGTTTTAAATTATTTGTGAACAAAAAGTAATCATGATGAAGTCAAACATGAAAAGCATTTAATTTAACACATAACGCACTAATTAACGCGCTAATCGCTCGCAGTAAGTCTAGCGAAACGCCTTTCTTGTTAGTGTCGCTAATTAACAGCCAGTTTTGCATATTTACAACTGACGTCGAGTGTTCATTCTACGCATATAAAATACAAACATGGATTCCGCGTTTTTCGGTTCTTCATATTCCAACGTAACAAACAAAAATGTTTTTATACGTCTATATATTTATCTACTCGTATGAACCCTTTTATTTATTTAATTTAATCCTTTTATACACCCTTTGTTCTTTAGAAGTGTCCTTATGTTCTCTACTTGACTATTTTTTATTGATTTTTAACACATTTCTAGTGTTAGCTGGGATAAAAAAAAACTGAATATAAAATGTGCCACTAACCTGAATTGATCTCGCCCGTTGAGCGTCTCCTGCTTGATCGAAAGTATGACAGGACCAAGATCCTCATCGTTGGTGAAGTAATTCCAATGTTCGGTGCCATAAAAGTACCGCTCGTACGTCTCCTGCTCGACGCTCGTCAGCTCGAAGGCCTGATTCTTCTCCCATTGCTCCTCGATGGTCGTCTTCTTACGCGGCGATGACGTGTCGTCGTCTTCGTCGTCTTCGTATAAATCATCGCATCCTTTTATGTTTAGATACACCGAAGCAGCGGTGCGGATACCAGAAAAAAGAGAAGAGCGGAAAAAAATTGAAGACGATTAGACATCCATTAGTTCGTAATGTTTTACAGCCAGACTGGCTGGTGCCCGTGCTCTTCCAAGACTCAAGCTCATCATTTAAGTGTCCCTTGAGAAATCACTTTGTTTTTTATATGCTTTATTTCCGTATTACACAGTCGGAACATTGTAGCAAAAAGTATGAATCCATCTCAAGGGGTTGGATTTAAGTACGCGTTACGCATTTACAATTTACTTGATGCACTCGCTACAAAGTTTTAATAAGTTTATAATCTGAAATGCGGGTAGAAGAAAAAATAAGGATAACAGGCCTAACTTTGGCCCGTACAAAATAATCTTCAAACTTGTTACGGCTGGCGGCCAAGAATTTAGGACTTTGGAACTTATGTAAATCATTCAACTTTTCGCAATAATCCGATATTTTCTTTAAAAAAAAAATGATGTGGAATGCGCTTTTACTCACCGTGGTCTCTTGATTTGTGTCCATTCTCGTCCAGATTCAAATGGCGGTCGTCTTCGTCGCCCTCGGGCAACTCGTGGTCGGACTCGCTTTCGTCCCAGATCGTGTCGGTGGCGATTTTCTGGCGCGAGCATTCGATCCAATAACCTGGCGTCGGAATGAAGTTGTGCGGAAATTCCTCACAAAACTCATCTGGAAGGCACACAAATCTACATTAGCGGACGAATCATTACACCTGTAGCTCCATAATGGTAGTTACTATATATTTTACCCAGGTAAAACACTAGACTATTTGTTTGCAAACTTGTTTTCTGTCATAATTTGCGTTAATAAATAAAGTTTGTTGGGTGCACCATTTATTTTAACTCATAAATGGTGAACTGACTTGATTTATAGATTTTGTTTTTGCCCTCAATAACAGAATAAATATTATAATTTCAAAAAATTCATGAAAAAATGAAATAAATGAAGGAAAATAATTTTATGGATAAGGTTATGCCCTTGGACATTCTTTGCACATATTGTCTACATTGTAATGTTCAGGAAATTTTGCAAAACTGTAAGTTATTTCCATTCGCTTCAATATATCACAAATTTTATTTCATTTTTTGTATTTACTTTATCTCAATATCCAAACCGAACTTAATTCAGTAAATACTGCAAATAGGTTATGTAACTAACTTCTAAGTACACTGCCACACTACCAATTGCGGCGTAGCCACGTTTCACTTAAAATAATGCATCAAATCTACAAAAGTATCATCTTCCTATACTCTCTATGTAAAACATTGCAAAATGATGATTTCCCAGGCAGGTGGGCAAAAGATTATATCCCTTAATGTTGTGCAATCTATTGTAGCGACGTCGGCAGCATGAAATAATTAACTTATACCACCCGGGGGATAATAAGTTTGTTAATATTATCGCACATCCCCGGCGTGTGCGTGTTTGCGCCGCAGTACATTTTAGGTGCGTATTATATACCTAATATAACATTGTTAAGTAAGAATTATGTCCGTAATAAAACGCGGCGATAGCTTTCGCTTTTTTTGTTCTTCTTTGCGCCGTAACTCGACTCCAGTTCCAGTTCCAGTATGTACGTAATATACACTTAATTCGCCATTTAGGATACTAGCCTCGCTGTAATCTCGCCGAGAGTGATCTACTATCATAAATCAAAAGCGTCTTTTTCTGACGCGGAAATTTCCAACTTTGGCTCAAACACAACCCAACTACGAACCGATGTACGTTGTTATAGTAGTGGTAAGTGAGTCTAGTGGCGCAGAACACACTTGAACAACAACAACAACAACCACAACGACGACATCTTGTTTGCGGACGTTCGCGACGCCACAAACGGAACTTTGAGTGATAAATCAATCTAAGTCGATGTACATCTCGCAGCCATCTAGAACATTCGTATCGCACGATTAACGTAATTAATCGATGTGTTTTGCGCGCATATTTTTTGTGTTTTCAACACAATTTAATCAATAATTTCATGCGAACATATTCTGACACTCCTTGAGGCGGGGTTTGCCTGCGCACACCCTAATTATATTAATATATTATTGTAGTGTGTCAACAACAAGACTTGTTCAACATGTAGATGCCTTTATAGATGTTTCCAGTTGATCGATTAATGCATATCGCGTAATTAGGATTAATTACCTCTAATTTGCAATACGCTAAAAGCAATAGCAGCCTTAGAGCACCGAACTAAAACGATAATCCTATAGTGTGTTCAAATCACAGTTCGCAACTAATTAATCATCAACTGCTGCGCGGATGCTCGCTTTATTGTCCATGATACATTATGAAGTAATCGTCGTCATCGTAGATAATTAGTTGTTATCATAATCATCACACGTTGAATTGGTGTACAGTCAACTCACTGTAAGGTAGAACACCAAACGAACTAAATGTAGCTTGGTGCTCAAACTTAGAGTGACCTGACTATACACAGGACGAACAAGCGGGAAGATGAGAATTAACACACTTCCCTTCTTTCACATGCGGCGGTTTGGGTTGGGGTGCGACGTGACGGAGTTGATGAATAGATGCTGGCGTCTCGTTTAGTACTCATATTCCAACCGGAGCGCCATCCATCGCAATGGCGGCGGTCGGGTACGTGGCGGAAGGAATTCGGCGTACGTGCGCAGGCGGTACGGCGGAGGAGCTGAAGGAAAAAATATTCCCGGGGCCGGCGCACAAATCTTCATTTTATGCTTTATTAATTCTCATGGAAAAAAGCAGCCACCGATTGTCCTCAATATTTCATGTTTTAAACTTGGTGCAAAACCGCAATATTCTTACCAAGATTTTTTACATTTCTTAAGCATTTTAAGTAAGTAATAATTAAGTTGTAAAAGAGACTATAAAGTATATTGATAAATATTTGATAGCTTTTTGGTCTGGATATATAGCTGACGATTTGTTATGTTTTCCCAGCGCGATACTTTTTATCGAACTTCTTCGCACATGCTTGTGCATACTGAAAGAGCCGCGATGCAGTCACGCTCGCTGATAGAAGCGGGTACACATGAAGCGAATGCAAAACAACCAAAGCTGTACGAGAGCGTTTTCGGGCACGTATCGCCGGATACTTTTGCATTTGCCCGTCTACTATTAGTGCATAATGCACGTCACATTTATTTACAGTTGGAATTTGCGCTGGCAATCAGCGCATTCATCAAATCCGAACTAAAATGCCAGCGGCAAGTAAAGCACATCAACACACGGATTCGATAAACATTTTACGAGCTTATTTCAGTACTAAAATGTTGCAAAAAGTTAAAAAATGTTGAAAAGAGTTTAGATTAGGGTAATAACTGGTGATGCATATAAAAATACAACAAGAACACGATTTTTGTTGTGTTATTGTTGTTTTTTTATATAAATTATAAAGTAACAAAAGCTAAAAAGGCAAAAACTTGCGAAAACACACAAAAAGCATGCTACAGGAAGGAAAAAGACGAGGTTAATCCGTAAGAAACGAAAAATTACGACCTGATGATAAATAAGGTAAAGGCGGATTAAGTATAGCTCCCGTTGTCCCTCGTCGGTTTCTTGCACGGAAAATGTATGTGCCACCGTGCAGGCTTAACTGTTTTGATATGTAATTATTATTCATGCCTAGTCACGGTTCTGTTAGCTAGACTTATGAAGCCTGCTGGCCTGGTTGCCGCACTATGTGACGAGCATATTTATCAAATATTATTATTATTATTACCGCAGGCGACGCCATTTTGTCAGTATTTATATTATTCTAGATTGCCAGCAATAATTTTGATGTAGAATAAAAATATGAAATGGAGCATGTCCATGACACAAATTGTAACCCCCGCGGGAGTTTTAAAACGGCGCACAATGCAAACAAAGCGTTGAAAATCTCCATCTAGCAGCGATAATAATTTAATTTCCTCGTCCTGTTGTATTCTAAACAAACGCGATAAATCGCATTATAAAATCCTTTGACTCCAAGACATGACTTTGTGTCACACACCGGATCTCCGCCGTTTGTATCAGAAAGCAGCCCCGTTTCGGTGCTGCTATGCGACAAAGAGGGCGAAGAATCTGTAACCGAGTGCGAACATTATCGGGGAGGGGTAGCCGCCGGAGTGTGTAATGTACACCATTCGAAATTAGACGCCGAAAGTTCAGAAAGTTGACGGCGTTTAATTGTCGCGCCGGCAACTTTATATATATAATGTTTAAGTAGCAGCTGCCAGCATATTATTAAATACGTCGGTCGGCAGCGCACCGCTTTGTGCTGATTTAATTGAAATTTTCGTTTTGGAACGGTGCGCTTTCAGCTTGAATTTCCAATTATAGTAACTTTGCAATACTTCTATAGCAAATAAAAAAAAGAACGCCAGACAATGTATGAAGTATATATAGGGTGGAGGCGCCGGGATGAGTGATTTTAAACACTTACCGGAACATGCTTGTGGCGGCAGCGGAAATATGAGCGTCGTCGAAGACTTCCTTCGCGCGACAGCGCAGCCCAATGATTGCGGCTTGAACGCACGCAACTGTTGCATGAAGTCCGAGCACTCCATGAGCGCCACATCGGCAAAGTGCAGATCGCATAGAATGTGATTCTTGAAGCGACGGGCACGCTTCTGATTCGGCCCGGTTAGATTCAATCCGCACGAATTGCAACGCAGACATTCTTCGTGATAATGATTGTTATCATACAACGGCGACGGCTCTATAAAAAAGAAGAAAATTTTTTATTAATAAAAATGCCAGATTTTACAAAAGTATAATTGTGTAGAGATTAATGAGAGTTAGAAAAATAAGAGCTTCTAAAATGACAAGTCATTAAGTAAAACGTTTGATTTTCATTGTGCTTTTTCACGTATGACATTCAGGCGCGTGGGACAAAAACCATTGAATAGAGCCGAGAGAAAAACATGATGATGAAAAACAGCCATTATCAGTGTTACTTTTAGTCATTAGCTTCCTGTTTTTTCAATGAATGGCTGCCACATTTTCGAATCCGGGTAAAGCTCATTTACAAACAGAGAGGAGTTGTTCGCACTTAGTTGTGCCTTTTACTCGCCGCAAAACTTTTCGAATGATTTAGTCACAGAATGGAATGAAACTTGTTTCGCAGTTTATGCAACTGCAGTTTACGGAAACAATTTGCGGTGGTAAATGTCGCACAAATTGCTATGCTGTAAATGTTGTTTAGGGGGATCTTCAAAAGCCGCGGTAGCGCTTTTGCAAATCCTGTGAGACCCAATTTTATCAGTTCAAAAATTGAGGTTTATGGAAAAAATCTTTGCAAAAGTTTTGTTTTGTATTTTTTTGGGTGGAAATTTGATAAAAAAGTAAAATGTTGTTATATTTATCCATCCAAAAAACATTACTTTAGTGTTAATGACAAAATTTGTAAAATTCAACGTTATTAACATTAAAATGATATGCTATTTGAAACTATTTCATAGTATATTAAATAAAACATAATAAACTTGCAAATAATAACGCAATAATTAACAAAATTGCAATTTGCGCTCAGTACTTGTACTTCAACTCAATGCATTGGCAAAATGAGTATTTCCTATTCAAATCTAAAGATATATTATGCAATTTGCTTGTAAACTGCAACTTTTCATTACTTATTTATACCATTCCAGTAGAGAATTTAAATAAATATTATAAAGCGCAGCATTCGCACGTTAATTGAAATTAGCGTCACGAAATCGCTAGAGAAGCAAGTTAGTTCATAATGAGTTGCAATTTCATCATCTTGCTGCGGCCTATCCGACGCTACCGGTACAACTTCCTTTTACCTTTGCCCGGCAGGCACACAGCCGGCGGTCCTCAAGTGCCACTCTATTTATTTAACATAAACGGGTAACTTTAAATTAATGCATCCATCAAAACAGCTAATGATAATATAACAAAAGCGAAAAAACGCCTAGATAAATACAGGTACAAGTATCTTAGCGCATTTCCGGTTGTTTTAATGGGTTTTATTCTATCTACAACCACTACGATGAGGTACTAAATAATTTACGCTTGTGCCTATATGCCCAGTTTTAATAACTTATAATTCACGCCGGTGTAAATTATGGAAATGCATCAAATGTTTATGCTTCATTAAGTTTAATATAGCACGCATAAAAATGATAATAGCGTACTTGGGGATATTTTATTTATTATTTGATATTAGGATAAATAACGTCCAACGCAAGTATGTCAAGTTGACTGGCAATAAAAAAACATGAAGGCAAAAGCCAAGCCTATAAATGTATGCAACCCAACATGCAACGTTCATAAAAACATAACCTATATTGACCAATATACCAATAATTGCAGTTTCACACTGTAATAAACTGTAAAAATGATTCTAAGAACAAAACAAAAATGACAGTTCTATTAGAACGTACTGAATATTCAACACACCAGCTAGTGTTATTGTTTTGTTTGCTTTGACACCACGTTTGATAGACCGTCGCTTTGCGCGAGAATATTGAACATTATTGCAGACGTGATTGTGCGACATTTCCAATTTCAAATTGAATATCGGGAATACGCCTTTGGCTCGCATATTTCGAAGACCTGTCTGTAATTGAAATCAGCTCAAGGGTATTCCCCTTCTCCCAACAACCTCAATATCTATAGTGTTATTAATATTAGTAAGCAAACCTATTATTTGTCCTAAATTGTATCAATTGTGGGCGCTAAACGGCGGAAAAAATTAATTGACGCAAATCAAGTGTAATGAGTTTGATGCATTTGACGCATTAAATTAACAATATCAGCTTTTGTTTTTGCTTTTTAGCCCTTTGTTCCAATAAATGTTTTTAAAACATTTTGCATATTCAATTGAATATGTGAATTAATGCAACGGAAATAATGCGTAACTGCAGCGGACAATCAAATGTTAAAATACGTGTTATTAATAGATTATATTCATGTGATTAATATGCAGTGTTGATTAAAATTTAGTTAAAATAATTTTAATCATAATTTTAATGTTTGCTAGCTTTTAGTGAAGTAATAAAATCATGACAAGAGTTTTATGTTACAAAGTTTCATCAGGAAATAGTCACCAGTTGACTCTCGATTCAATCGCTATTGAATCGTTTGCAATTCTGAATTGAATGCAAGACGCGAACTGCTTTAATTAAATTTGTAAAATATGTAACACAAAAGCAATCAAATCGTACGCTTTTCTCTGCTTTATTTGTTGCTTTAGTCCATACAAGTTAATTGACAAATTGGCGTCGACTTTAAGTTGTTTGTGGACACAAACCTGGACAGAAAACCAACAAAGAAAGCTGTTAGATTGATTAAAATTGATCGCTGCAAGTTTTGCGAACATATTCTCATGGCCAAGGTTTTATTCTATACACCTACATATTTTTTTGCCAAGTAAAACTCGAAATAAAAAAATGCAAACAATTAAAACTACGAAGCAACACGTGTTAAATGTTTTCCACGTTTGTAAGTAATTTAAACGAAAATAAAATAATGTACTACAATACACAACGGCACAAAGCAATCAACGAATTAAAAATAAAACAGAATAATATAGGTGTAGCCAGCCACATGCTCTATATATACGTCTCAATACACATTGTGATGGTTTTTACCCATTGTCCGTCTGAAGCAACTGTTGCAGCCCGATATTCACAAGCACTGAATCGTCACGCGGCGTGGAATTCATGTAGTCTGCTCATACTTCCCGCCGAACACAGCAGAATAACAACGTTCGCGATATTTTTGCGTTTCTTATGCAATGTCAATTTACACCTAGCGCGAATTTCGTGTATTCGTGCACGTCTTACGTTAGGGTTCGACTCGACTGTGGGATGTGCGCGGCGTGGACGTGCGGCAACGGTGGCGACGGCGGCGGCGGCAGAGAAGGATAGGTCCACGTGCTGCGGACGCCACGGAACCACTGAGGCAGCGTCGCGGCGCCGACCCCACCCCCGATCGATTACCAACTGTGTTATCACAAATATTACTGAGATGCCGGCGCGCACGTTAAAATTATTTCGCCAGCCGGACTAAACATTCACACAAACAAAAAATCCGATACTAAATTAAATAAATTACATTCACTATACAACCAGCGAATCATCCGGATGTGGCTTACTCGTATATGTTGCTTATCTCATAAATACGTCAGAAAGTAAATTAAACTTGTGTGTTTTGTTATTTGTATAAAACCAAATCAATTACGCACTGATAAAAAATAATACCCAGCATTATTTAAATTAGTTATTGTGAAGATATTGTAAAGATAGAAAAAGTATGATGAGAGCACACGCAACAGGTATAAATCGAGAGCTAGAATGAATATGCACTGATGCGATAGTGAATAAGCACAGTGAATCTTTGATAGAAATTTAAAGTTATCGATTAAAAAACCAAACAAATCCTACCTGTCTGAGTGCTCGAATCAAAAAACGTACTTGATGTTTCAATGGTCATTGATGCAATGGTGCCATCGGTGATTTGAGCACAAGAATCCCGCCGTCCTCGAAATTTCGACGTGTCATCACTCTGTGAGCTCTGTCTGCGAAAGTTTCGGCATCGAATCATTTCCTCGGTAGTAGACTGCCGTCTAAATCCACGAGCAATCAGGATTTCTTCGGTGGTTGACTGCCGCCGGATCATGGGTCTATGCGATTCGCCCCGTTCGGGCATAGGTCTGGCACATGGACTCGGATCCCGCGATGAACAAGACGATGAATCCGGCGAGCGGTGGCCACGGCCGGCAATACTGGTGGATTGTCGCCGTAGGCGACGGCTGCTCCTTCGCATTGGGCTGATGTCGCGCTCGCCCGACCGATCCGGACTTAGATGGGTGCGTGAATCGCGGCGGCTGCGAGACGCCGAGTCGGGGCTTAAACTGTCCCGCCTGGATTTGCGGCCGGTGTCGTCAACATCGGGGCTCAATGCCGTCGGTTGTGATCCGCGTCGGCCCCAGCCGCCGGGCGGCAGGCAGCTTTCGTCGTAGGCGGTATTCTGACGCTGCAGGCGTGAATTGCGTCGTTCTGGACTTGCATGACTGCGTGAGTCGCGCCGGCCAAGACGTACACTGCATTGGGTTGTGGAATCGCGGCGAGTTGAAAGCAGTGGATGCGTTGGCGTTGTCGCCTGCACCTGTGGCACCGTGGGTGAGGTGGCCGGCGGTGTGACGCTGGACATGATAATGGTAGGCGGTGGCAGTGCCTGTGTGCCCATATCCGTTGATGTGGTACAAGTAGTGACCACTTGGATGATAGGAGTTGAATCGGAAGCGGTGGAGGAGGTAGAAGGACGCTGATCTTGACGATTATATGGTGTGTCGTTAATTGTACGCGAATCACGACGTTTCTTATGTGCGGTTACTATCTTAGGAGGTAGGGGAGTGATCAGCGTGGTGGAATCACGTCGTCCACTGCGTCCACTCTCGCCTGAGCCTCTCCTGGAAGCGCCATACGAATGGCTAATTGAATCACGTCGTCCACTTCGACTCGACTCGCCCGAATCTCGTCTCGGCGGTGAGCTGGCTGTAATAATTCTCTCCGTAGTTGATTCCCTGCGCTGCCATAGTTTAGCCACCTCGCTCCGGAAGTCCGAAAAGGTGTGATGTTGCTGTGAGTCCCGTCTAGACTTACCGCTGATACTCTTAATACCCGAATCCGCGCTCGACTCGCGCCGTTTTCGGTTATAACTCGGCGCGCCATCTGTGGTTGTCTGCCGTCCCCAAGGTAAACTGCGCGCTAAATCCGCCAGTGTCTCGCGGCGACTTAGCGGCGCTTTCCGGCGTGTCTTCGTCGACGCACCGCTCCACTCCTTCAAGATGTCTGTAAGCTGAGCAAGCGAGCTGCGTCTTCGTCTCGGCTGGCCCGACGTCGGCGGCGATGTTTCCTGCGTTTCCGTCGGTGGTGATATACTGGTTGCCTGCGCTGCGGAATCGCGTCTTCCGCCCAATCGTTGGCGAATCGTCGATTCTTCGACTTGCTCGCGCACCAAGTCGTCCCATCCATTGCCGCCCTGCCATATCAATCCGACTTGATGCGAGAGAATCGGTAGATTGCACACGAAGCAAATGGCCGTCATTGTCCTACGGAAAGCAAAGCAAACAAAACACGATATCAGTCCAACTTTCTGCACATTTGCATGACAAATGCACTTGCATAAATAACCAAGTCGAGAGTGCTCCAGAAATGATGGCATATTCAAAAAAGGTGCTCGTCATGAATAATAAACACACACACGCACACAAAACACACCCACAGACAGCTATAAATGATGTAGAATAACATCGAAAAGATAATAGTAAATATATTATGTTTGTTTTGCGGTGCTATACAGCGGCATGCTGAAAGAAGAAGTAAAAAACGTAGCGGCGATGTTGTATAATTTAATATAATATAATATAATAAATGACTCGTTCTGCGTATCCATCAAATCAACTTGTCGCATATGCATTTCAAAAGGTACTTAGAGAACGTTCGGAGTGCGTGCAAAATTTTTTGATGCTTGATGCGTTATTTTTTTTGTTTTTGATTTTGATCAGAACCTGTAATGACGCAGGCGCGGCGACGGTATCTGCGCCATGGCTCATTCTGACGGCCCCACTCCGTCTTGCTCCTTCACTCTCTGCCAGGATTCCTTGCCAGCCTGCTCAACATCAAACACCAAACAAACACATTAATTACATTAATTACTCGGCCTTCAATTTGCTAATGGTTGGCGGTGGGTATTGGTGTGTGCTCGGGGGTAGTTTGCAGGTAGTTTTGTAAGTGGACGTGATTTTCTACGGGAATTATTCAGATCTTCTGTATATGATTTTCAGTAAAAATGCGTTTAATTAACAATTCGGAGCAAACATCTGAAAGATTTAATAAGTAGTTACAACAATATTTAAATATAAAATAGGTATACACATTGTATCTACACATTAAATGAGCTTATTTTATTACAAAAAGAATAAAAAACGAATAAAAAGGTACAAACACGTAACGCAAAAAATGAATAACAAATAAAGATGTTGATTGGGCAAATTACATTTTTACCGTCGTCGATTAACGCACAAGTCGCCGAGTGGTCGTTGAGAGAGTTAAGTTCGTGTCCCTTGGTTTTTAAACAGCTCGTAACAGGTGGTTTTAATGTCAGAGTAGTGGTAATAAGCACGATAACGTCATGTTCAGCGAGAATTTACGTTTTCTTTTATGCATGATTCAACCGTGTATTAATAATCGCACTAGTTTTTTTTTTAGGTTTTGAAAACGAAAAAATGAAAGCAAATAAATCTCGCACAAATTTGGGTACGTATCGATGTAGCACTTGCCGAGATCACCTTCTGTAGCATACTAGCAAAAGCTGCGGTGGAGGCGCCTCGGCACAGTGCCGCTGCGCGAGCTCGACACTGACAGCGCACTGTAAAATAAGCGCGCCGTCGACGTTAGACTGGGGGCCGCCAGGCAGCGTCCGGATAATGTGAAACGGTCGGCGCGAGCGCCACGCGTTCTGCCGGAGCGTATCGATCCGCGAGAGAGACCGATGCCAGCACCGGCGGCGGCAGCGGCCGCGGCGGCTGGATGCCTACCTACTCGACCTGCACGCGTCTACGCTACGCAAGAGGAGAATGGAGCACACAAGCGCCACTCGCACGATCTGTGCAGGTGAACTACATTCAATCCGGCCATTCTTGCTCCCCTGACGCCACCGCCACCGCCGCCACCCAGCCAGGCAGCCAGCTGCCCGCGCATCCCACGATCCAACAGGTACAGCCAGCGAATAGCAGCATACGTCACGCGGCACATTTTCCTCAAGCTTAATAGAAAACTAGCATAATTGCGCATTAAATTTTATAAACACTCAACCAAGCCAGCCAGGATGTAATCAAGTGGTCAGCTATATTGTTAATTAAATTAATTAGACCACGGAATAAGAGAATATACGCCTCTTGGATCGTAAAGATGTTTAGTCTTGCATTAAATAAAGCTTATCCGAGCGCAGTTCCCTTGTGTTGTCAAGAAATACAAGTCTGAACGGCAAAGATAATAGTTTGGCGCATTTGATCCGAAATATTTTTTCGAGATATATTAAATAAAAAGTTATGTTTTGCCACACGGGAATTGTTTGCATCTATATATTCCACTGAACAAATATTTTGACACGGCCATTTTCAGTGGCTTTATTCCGACGGGTCAAATTTCTGCAGACGATCCTCACGTATGGCATACAAAAGTGGAAAAAATGTTCCGTTCGTTCGGGGAGTTACTGAGGTGACAAAAATTCGTCGGTGAACCTTTTTTTTAACCTCCAGAGACAATGTAAAATATAAATTTATAACCTTCGAGTCAAAAAATGTGATAAACACGAAGTAAATCTTGTTCTCTGGATACTCACGTGCAAAATTAACTTTTTCTCTACAAAAAATCCAATTTATAATTAAAAATTGTGAAATTATATTCATTAATTTAATATAAAATGTTGCAACTCCTATTTTATCTTATTACAATAAAAAATTTGCAGCAAATTGTAGCCTATGTTTTAATCCAAAGTCTAATCAATGTTTTCACCAAATTATATAAATTTTTATCAAGTAGTTTAAACGTGAAACAAAACCAAAGCTACTTATGCATTTTTAATTGGGAATTGGCCTAGTCAATAATAGGCAACTTGTACTACATGATTGTTTGAACTATAGTATACAATTGCCCGATACAATAACGATAAATTTAATTCCAATTGCAATCGATTCATTTTAATACGCCCGTTAGTAACAAACTTTATCATTATCCCGCATTATTAATAATATGAAACTCTCGACTCTATTGCAGAAGCTTTAAACCTTCTCATTAAAAGTTATTACGTTTTTGACTGTAGAAATATAACCCGTCAGACATATTATAACAATACGCAAATATTAATCAGATCAATTTTGCCTTTTGCGTCGTTATAATCTTTAACAATACGTTTACAATTGGATTAGTTTCTATAATGCGACTCGCATTTCAATATAGAAATAATTATTCATTTGTCGATTTCTGCACACAGAAAAGAAAAACCGAATGAAACGAAAGCGGATTGAAAAGTCTCGAAATAATTGGCGGAAGTATACTGAAGTCACGTTTTGGCATTGGAAATATTCACACCATCACGCAGCACAATTACAATTTGAATGGATGTGTAATTGTGTGCGAAATTTAAGATAAAATTTTACTTTCAGAAAGATTTAGTTAATCCTATTGTGAGCGTTTAATTCAAATTGTTACATAATCTAATCCGAATGTGTGAAATATTAATATGTCTGGTTGTGACGCGACAACTAAGCTCCCTTTTCGAAATGCTTGAAGCATTGTTGACGGCGGCAAACGGAAAAGAAGCAAAAATTTTAACGCGCTTTGAACTAGCAGCTCGGTTTGTGACGCCGCGGAATATTTCGGTGTGTTCAGGTAGTCGTCGTCCTGCTTTTCATTAAAAGGAGTGCTCTTTTTGTCAGCGTCGGCGGCAATCCCATCGAGGGCACGTTTTCAACTTTAGCAACTCAATTTCGTGCGCATTTACATTTGACACAATTTATCACCTTTTAAACTATTTTATGCGACATTCAGTCGGAATCGTTTCGTTACATTTCATTACGCATTACATCATTGACACGAATAAAAGATGCTTTTTACACGCCGGCGCATATATAGCTAGTTTAGTTAGCGCCGGTATATCCAATAAAGGCCGAATGTCGAAGAGTCGCAAACGCAACACAAACGATTACATATCCGAGAGCGAGTTATAAATTATGCATAAGGTTTGGCCCACACCCCGGCCGCCCTCGCCCTGCGAAAACATCATCGAAATAGCGTTAACCGCATTGGAGAGGTGCAAACCGTGTGCTGCGGAGGTGGATGTGGAAGAGGTACTACGCGAAAGCCCAGAAGCGTGCTTTTCGGGGTCGAGCGCAAAGCACGCCAATTGTGTGCGCGAGGGTGTGTTGAGAGCGGCGGCGGAAAGCGATGGCCCATCGGTTCGATAGGTGTCATCCATGCAGATAATCAATTTTAACACTTGGAGACTAATGGAAAGAAAACACCGGCGTACGCATTCTCAGCCCAAAGGGGACGCAGTTCACATAACTCGGCGCATTCGAAACTGCCGCGCTGTTTGGATTATCATTCTGTCCATTAATCAATTAATTTTATCCATGATAAATTATACGTATTTTTAAATGTCAATTTCATGTCTCTACATAACCTACTTTTTAATTTTTATTTATTTTGACATGGAAATTTTTTGCGTTGTTAAAAAGTGTTTTTTGTAGTAAAAAAATTTGATTTTAACTCTTTCGGCTAATTAAGTAAGTAAAATTGAGTTAAACACGTTTTTCTTGGCCACAGTCAAACAGTATTTGACATTTTATTGACGTAGACCAAAAAATAGGTTATGTTTAGTAAATAACCTCAAATTTAGTTATTTGTGCAAAAAAGCCAATTCTTTAGTCTAAGGGTCTAAAAACTACATTTTACAACCTTCAATAATACCAAATAGTTAATTTTAAGCCCCACTTAATTCGACACCGGAAATTATAGCATTTTAAACCGCAAAATACGTGCACACTAATTTTGTTTAGCAATTAAATGAACAAAAGAACAAAATCAGCGCAATTAGAACCGTGATATTACTCATACACCCCAACGCCTCCACAAACGCGCGCCTAATTCATTCGCATTAACCATTTTGCAGAGTGTAGCCGCGCTCCGACTCCGCGCGGCTTCTGTTTAACCAAGATAATTGGAATGGCAGAATAGGAACAATAAATGCATTTAGTTCACGGACTCATGGTGTGCGATATCACACTAGCGTTGTTTGCGGATAGATTTCGTTGTTGGTTCCACCCCCGCACACACTCACGCCTCAAGCAAACACACCTTGGGGGCGTCATACCGCACACACATCTTCTCACACGTATCGTCTTAATCTCTTCGCGTGCGTATCTTATTCGGCGCGTTTTCATTTAAACATCAGCAGCTTGGATAATCTGAATGCGATCTTCCGCCGGCGTAAGTTATTCAGTGCGGGCTGGTATTGTTGGCGCGGTTCCGCTCGCAATTCAATAATAGGAAGAGCGTAAAGCTTTCAGGGCACAAAGTTATTGTGCATGCCGAAGCTCCGGTGGAGGCATTCGGGGAATCTAAATCTAAACTAACATAAGCGGGAATTAACGAAACTATGTACGCCTTGGTTATGTGGTGAGTCATCTAAAAGGTGTTTACATCGGGATAATGAAATTGATGCATTCTTTCAATACAACTCAATTTAATTCCGAAAAGATGCACTTTTGGAGAATTGCAGCTTTTTTAAGAATTTTATCTTCAAACTAGCGTGGATTTTAGTAGAAAGAATTACTTATTTAATTCATGGACCTATTATGTGCCGACTACATTAGTAGGTTTCTTAATTTTAATTTGCAAAAATGAGAAACACTAAAAATGCACTTTTGCGCCCTCTGGGTTTGAAACATATAACTAAAACTATAATTACTCCTACATATCAACTTTCATCCCTCATTGTACGCCCTTCTCGTTATATTTTTGCAACAAAAAGTGTTCTATTTGCTTTTCCATGTTGAAAAATATCTCCTTACCAAAATGTATCAAAATTAATTCAATGGTTTTTGAGTGAAAGTGTCACAAATATACGTTGCATAATTACGAGTATGACGGTTTTCAATTAAAAAATTACAACTTTTCATACAAAAATAAATATTTTAAAATATTTTTAATTAATATTAATGAAGTTTTTACCGTATTTCCCACGTTATCCGTATTTTGGCTGCAATTTCCAGTTGACAACTTGCAATAGAAACATATAGAATTATATCGAAACTTTTAACATGATTAAGCTCTTTCCAACAAACAACAAGTGTTTAACTCCACCTAGATTAAATTCTATGCAAGTTGACTGCCAGGGCATTAGTAATTCCCAAACATTTAAATGTATATTACGTGTTATTTTTTTGTGCACACGTCATTCGCAACATAGCGGACGTGCAGCACAAGCATTAAAAGTACGTTTCGAAAATTTCGAATGCGCTAACAATATCCCTTATGCGCGCGTAGAAAAGCGTATTCAAATTGAATTCATATGCAGGACTATGTGCGACCCCGGGCGCAAAAGTGTACTCTCAATACGTGGAGGTGTTGGTGTAGGGTGCGGCAACACAAAAAAAAAGTTGGAGGAAAAAAACTGTATAATAGACGTGTTCAACTTGCCGTTCTCTCCGCTCCAAAGGATTACGATTATTTCGCGCAACGTTGTGTTTTGGCAGTCATCACGTGTACGTCGTAATGCCGTTTTTATTTCTCGCATTCCGACAAGTGCCGCCGCGCCGTGTGCGTACCTACAGCGGCATTTCAAAATGCGTTTTACGCTCGACGAAATTTTTACTCTTAAAAGCTTTCTCTTTTAGATTTTGTGCCTCATTCAAGAAAAACACTAGCGCAATGCATGCTGCTCACCGCGAGCGTTCAAGTGCCTTAAGAGCAGGCGCGCGCTGCGCTTTCGACAAGGAACAAAATGGAAAACGGCATATAAGAATAACAACCTACGTCGTGCAAAAATAACGCCTGTCAAAACGTGTGGCCGGGTTTTGTATGAAAATCATTTTCGCACCGCGTAACTTTTTCTGGCCTATCCTTTTAGATCCTTTATCCCTGACGCGTGTGTTTCGCTTTTTTTTTATCTGATATTCAAGTCGTTTTTTCATTTGTTTTCTTTCCTTCGGCACGCCAAAATCAATAAAAGTATTAACTCCGGTGGCAAAGTGTTTTAAAATTAAATTTAAAAGTACGTAAACAACTTATTAATATTAATACCTTTATTTTAATGGTTGATTTGTGTTTGTTAGGTTCTTCTGGTGATTTTCCAACTTCTCCAACAGGCTTGCGGCTTTAAAACTGAAACATACAAATTAGAATTAAAATAAGTTTAAAGTCTTATCAATAATGCTTTAAATTACATAAATAACAATGTTGCTTATCAGAGTAATGGATCAAATAAGTTTAAAAGTAAATTTTGTTTACCAACATTAACAATACTAGAATCATAAATGCAAATCATGAATACTTGATGTTTGCATACAAATCGATAAAAATATTGTGTCAGCAAACGCAAAAAATTACAATTTTTAACTTACGCTTGTCAAATAATGTCATAAATAAATTGTGACAGCATGTTACTAATCCTAATTTTCTTATTTTACTGCCTAGGCATTTTTTACAACTGCAATGACACTTTCACTCAACATCAGCGCCGATTTAGCAAAAAAAAAAGTTATTTGATTTACAGGAGAAGAACACTCCTCCTGCGGCCTACTTTTTAACCTCTCGCGCACGTAATCCCCCAAACAGGCGCAAAATAAAATAAAAAACGCAATGACGTAAAACCGCAATTTAATTTCTTACATTTGCCATTTCCATTTCGCGCTCGCCGCCGCGCGTTTTTTAAAGCCTCGTTCTCGTTGATGCGGGTGCCGTAAGCAAAGCAAAGTACTTTTTAAAATGCTTGTTCTCGCTTTGCTTCAACGAACAGACGTGCAGGCTTAGAAATAAAAGTGCATCATTTCAAATCCACATAACATTTCTGCGGAAAACTCTTTTACTTCGAGTGAACACAGAGAGCAGAAAAAAGCACGACTCGCGCATAGTGATGCAGCACAGCTATCCCGCTTACTCTTGGACACTTTTTGCATTTTGACACAGCATCAAATAGAGCATCCTAGGTTTTATGCAATCAAGTAAGACTTAATTCGAGAATTGGATTTGTCGTACGTGACCAACACACAATAAAAACTTTACGAGTTAATTTCGTACGTTTTACACTCAGTGTCTTCTTTACTCACGTGAGTTAATTTATTTTCTAGAAGTTGCTTTATTTACGAAACAAAATTAATTAATTGTTAAGTCAATTTAATTCATTTCTTTCACAAATTTAAGAAAAGAAATGATTAATTGAAGTAATAATAATGTTTTTAGTTTCAGGCGGCAGATGGCA